ATGAGAAATTATATCATTTCCAGAAGTTTTTTTTTTCTTATTTCATTGGCAGCATTTTTTTTATCTCATTACAAACAATTCAGGTTCATTTTTGGGGTATAATATCTTGTCAGGCAATAGGACTTAAATCAAGAATAATGAGATATTTGTATCCATAAAAAAAAAATAAAAAAAAACATTTGTAGTTTTTGTCGTGTAACTTTTATGCTAGTTCTCTTCTCAACAAGGAGGCTAAACCAACTATTTAAGCCTTGGAACCAGTTACACCAGCCTCCTGGTGATCCCTGCACAAGGCTTGAAAGGGCTCAGTGCTCATGATTTATTATAGCACAGTTTTCACAGGTGTAATTCTCTTATATTGTTCATCTCAGGTGTAAAAGTTGGTCATGCTGTCATCAAATTCAAATCCTACAGATGTATCATAACTGAAAAACCTGATAGATGGACCAAGATAACATCAGAGTTAGGTTGTGATTTGATTAGTTTCAGGGTGGGATATTCCCACCAATTAAACTGTCTCTCCTAAGGCAAAAAGGAGTGTTATTGAATTCTAATATGAGCTCAAAAAAGTTACACTGATTTTATTGGAAGAAGTTGAACTCTTGACGCTTTATCAATACAAAGGCAGTTATGGGTTTTGCTGAGTTCACCTCAAAGCCTTTAGCAATTTTAGTTTTTTTTTTGTATCAGACTCGTGACTCTGTTTCTGGTGTCAGGGTGTGGTGACAGACACTTCTCCACAGACAGCAGCCCCCTCCTCGCAGGACGCCAGCGGGCAGCAGCCTTTATCCGTGGAGAGTACAGGAGATCATGCTACAGCCTACTCCTACCAGCAGTCTAAGTGAGTAAACAGGTGCCTGTTTCAAAGTAGAGTCAGCTCTTTTTAAAGTGGATGCAAAAAAACATGAAGGGAATACGCCAAAGTGGAATTCTGTTGTTCTGCAGCTCCTCTGACAAACTCATCCTGTCAGTGCTGTCAAAACTGTCCAAACTGACAACTACTCAGTGACTTTTGTTTTCTGCAGAGTTAACAGTTATTCAGATTGCTCGGTCGATAAAGACGTAATAAACTTGCATTTTCACGGAACACAAATATCCCATTACTTACCACTTATAATGGCAATATATTTCCACGTACAGTTTGTCTCAGTTCCCAGTGTCTCAGTTTCCAAACTTCAAGCTCCTGTGAGGACTTTTTCACTGGTTATGAGAGAGGCTGAGATTCATAGTGATGGCTCTATATGACCTAAAGAGGTGAACAGGGCTGTCAGTGACGGGAATGGCAATAATTATAACATGAGTTTGTACGTCTGTTACTGCGCCTGACACAGCCTAACTTTACCTTTCCCAAAGCAAGAGTTCTTGCTGAGTTACACATTACTCAGTTTAAAGGCACCTTTTGTCAGAAAATACTACTGACTCATGCAGGACAAAACTGGTATAAAAAAAGAGGTTCTCATTTTATCCACAGGTGGCGCCAAAACTGACACAAACAGAAAATCCCTCATAGGAGCTTTAAAAAAAAAAGGTTATTTCTTTTATTTAAACAACAACAACAAAAAAAACATTTCAAAGTTGAGACTGCACTGAGTCTCTGAGTAATGAAGGAATAGTGAGTAAACAGTTGGTTTTGTAATCAATAGTAATTTTGTGGGGGCTAAATAATACACCCACACAGTTATCCCCCACTGAACCACGTATCTGGATTTTCATTTTTGTGTATTAACATGACAGTAGCATCAATCTTCCCATCAAAGTTTCACCAGAGTAAAAAGTGTTTTTCAGAATTTCATAAAAGCAGGACAAAGCGGTTTGCAAAAGACTGAGAGAGGAACATGATCTGTTTATAGATGATGTTTGTCTGGGCTAGGAATCACATTTCGAGGAATCATGTAAAATAATGTGCATCAACTGTAACCAGCTGCAGACGGCTGCAGTGTGTATTTGTCGTACAACACTATGTTTTTCAATTTGCCTTTTTTTCCATTTGCAGAGCCATGTCAACCTTTGCTTGTATTACAATGAATGTATTACTCAGAATTTTTATCCTTCTCCAGGTGTTTATCCGTGTTGTTTTTCTGCTGCCTAGATAGCCCGCTGGTGGCTTTATCCCTTTTTTTTTTGACAAACTGCAGCTGGACAAAGGATGTTGTTCCAGCTTTTGAAACGCTGACATTGTCCACAGTCTCCTTTTTTTCCACTGACTTGTTTTTCTGTCTCCTCCAGATAACGAGATTGGTAGGAATCATTGCTGCATTGCCTTCAGAAGGACTGCACCAAGACGCTGGAGACACACAGAGAATCAAAATGAAACGGGGACAAAAAAAAAAGAGGTGACACGGGCAACACTGAGGGGAGAATGCTTCCACTGTGCACAGGCAACAAATACATGACAAAATGAAGAAAAAAAACAATTATCTTTCCTACCTGGTTGAGGCAAAAAGACAGAGGAGGAGAAAAAAAGAAATGATGGTTTTCCAGACTTGAGGACACTGAAATCAAATGCAGTCTGCAACTTTGAGTTCCTCACTGTGAGATTGGACTTTGCCTCCAAAAGAAGAAGTGAGGACACAGACTGAAATCTGAACTCAACCAACAAGCTGTACAGAAAAAAAAGGAACGTTTGAATGTGCAGGTAGATTTTCAGACTTTTCTATCAAAAAAAATAAATAAAAGAGGGAGCAAAGTCTAGAGGAGAAAACAGATTGTCTTCCTTTGATATTAAGCTACATTATTTTCATTCTTTTTATTATTTGAGTAGTTTTCTAGAATATCAATGTTTTTTGGTAAATCTTTATTGCCTTAATTTTTTCAAATTTTGGAAAAAAAAGTTTCTTGAGTGTTGAATCTAAAAAAAGGACTGAGTGGTTGAATGATTTGAGAGGCTCTTGAAGATTTCCGGGAGCCTCAGAGATGATATCTACAAAGCTATCTGTACAGGATTTTAAAAAGGAAAGGTTGTATTTGTATGAAGATGATTTTAAATTATGTGGTGCAGTGCAGCTGGTGTTGATTGGTTTAAAAAAAAAAAAAAAAGAAGAAAAAACTTCTTTATTAAAATTTTGGGAAGGGTTGATCCACTGCTTCAAAAAAAAATGCCGTTAAGTTTAATCATTGGATAATAATTCTGTTTTTCCATTGCATTTGTACTTTTTATAGATTTTCTCCCCCGTTCATTATAGATTGCAGCCTTTTCTTTAACCCTCAAAAGGTTTTTGCTTTGCCTGCTTAGCTTGTCTCACAGCAAAAAGAAAATTATAAAAAAAAAAGAAGCAAGTCTGACTTTGACAAAAAAAAAGCAGAAAAAAAACAGCTAGGATTTTTAAATGTGCAAAAAGCAATAGTTTTAGTAAAACTGTTGACAGTTTCTTAAGTCTTTCTTAACTGTTTAACAAAAGCAGCCTACAGGAGGCATATTTTATACCAAAGATGAAGAAACTAGGTGGTGAAGACATCTTCCTGACTGTATGTTGCTTTTTCTTTGTATGTTTTTTTACCTCTTGAACTGAGATTTTTCTCGCTTGTCATGCTGTTTGTGTATGAGATGATCTAATCAGTGACTGAGAAGAAGCAGAAGATCTTGAACACAACTTCCTCAAACCAGAAGAATAAACTCGGAGACATTTTTATATGGGCAGGAACATCTGCGGAGAGACCAGATGCCCTGTGGAGCAGAGGTTAAGATGAGTCTGTTGACTTTATTTTGAAGTGGTAGAAGGTCAGTTGTAACTGGTGCAGTATGGCGTGTACTTGCAGTACCCAAAAAACTCCCTCCCTGGGCTACTCTGATGATGAACAAGTCGTAGATGCAAACACTGCGGAGCTGTAAATCAGTGCGTCAGCTAGAAGAGGTGTTCACGTTTTTTATTATTTTAACTCTCAGTCCACAAAGCAAACTCTTTAGCGCCACAAGCCATTTAAAATGTGAGCAGGGCGATGAATCTGTCAGAGGAACTAAATCATTTCAGCTTGTGTGTATTCTTAAAGGAAAAGAAGAGATATTTTTCTTTTTTGTGTTGCCTTTTTTGAGAATTATGATGTTTGAGCTGCTAAATACTTTTGATTATTGGGGATTTAGGTTGTCTTCAGTCAGGTGGGTGGGGACAAAGGTGAACCTCCGGGGTTTGATTTATTGACCATTTAGAGCCGAGGAAAAGACGGTAAAATTTTATTCATGGCTTCATGGAACATGCGGCATCATAAGTTGTAAATTTTGCCTCTTTTTATGTGAGGGAGGAGAAAAGAACCCTGAAAAAAATACTTGTTCATGACAGTTACACTACATGGATTAAAGGATGTCTTCTTTTGGGAACATCATCAGAGAAAAGGTTTAGTGTCTTAAACTTACTCTGGAGGCCTCACCTTAGAGCCTCACCTACCCGACCACTGATAAAAGGAGGCTAAAGGAGACAGAGAAACGGATGGAGGGATGGTAACAGCATGGTTCAACCAAAATCAACCATATAAAAACCTCTATGGGAAAAATAAATTATTGAAAGAAAAGAGAGAAACTAGAGATGGTGAGAACAAGAGTAATATTTATGAGATCTTTTTTGTACAGGTGTGTAAAAGAAGATGCAACAGAAATAACTTTGATGATGCTATTTTTTTATTTGCTTGGTCACATGCCTCCCATGTCTTTCAAATTGTGATTCTGAGAGTGTCTGTAGAACCAGTGGATATTGCTGTAGTTTCAAATGTCTTTTTTTCCTTTTGGATTTCTTTTTAGACAAATCTTTCAATAAAAAAATGTTCAAAACAGCCATTACTCATTTATCTGTTCTGCAGGTACGATGCAGTACCACTGGGGGGCACTGTGGTTCAGATTACATGGTGGAATGGTTAGTTTATTTCAGGATGAGCTGCAGATGTTCGATAAGGCAGATCTAAACAGGCATGATATTGTTTTCATACCAAGTACTAACAAATGAATCCACCTTAAAAAAGTGAAATGCATGCAACATGAAGGCTTTGACTTTATACACAGCACACAAAACAGGTCCAGTTAGTAGAAGTTTATTGTTTACTGAATAGAGGGAGCAAAATTATCCAAACAGACACAGTGAAACAGTGAGTGCATTACATGAAAATCATGCATCAATCTCTTCAGTGCAAAGACAACAACGCTATTGAAACCGTTTTAAAGCAGAGTTCCATATACTTACAAGGTCAAAATCCAAATGCATATATATACATTCGTTTTTACGCCTGTTGCTTTTATCCTGAAATAATGCACTGTTTATTGTAGTAAAAAAAATAAAATTAAAAAAATGAGCAAAATGCTTTTTGTAATTTAAGACTTAAACAACAAAGCATGTTATTAATAATCAAAGGGATTTTTGAGTATCTGCCAATCTTCTATTTATGATTTGGATGCACTTGTGCGTTTTGTAGATCTCTTTCAAAGGTCAGACCGACTCATTGGTCACTCTTTTTAAGCAAATGCTTTAAATAAATGAACACTTATTTCGTCATATACACATACAACTTAGTCGAGTATATACTGCCCTGAAACTTGAAATGTGTGTCTTGTCACCATGACAGGACTTGTTCTTTTTAGCACTCAACTTTGGACCTTCTCCTCTTATCTCTTATTATCCAAGACTTCTTTTTCTGCAAGTTTATTATGTGCTGCTTACTATATGTGCATTTATAGTGGGGAAAAATCAACCTCAAATCATTGTAGTTCACCTTTGAGCTGCAATCCTTTCATCTACTTTATTTTAAAACTGACCATAAAAAAATGATTTAATACAACAAGAACTTCGTTTTCAAAACCCAAATAAAGCAATGGCACATTACACATTCATACACCATTTATCAGGGAGGTTTCCTTTCATTAACATTGGAGTATTATTGTGCACTTCTAATATAAACTGCTACATTACAACACTACGAGATAGTCAGAGCGAAGTGCCACCAAACTGTGTGTAAAGCAAATGGATTCAGTGCAATAACATAAACAGTATGATACAGGTATAAAAACATAGTCTGGTGACAGATGAGTAGTTAATCATGCTTTTGCCTGAGGGTTTGTGTGTGTTTGTGTGAGAGAGAGAGAGAGACAAATGGAGAGATTACTTTAAGGTTACACAATATGAGACAAGAAGGAGGACGAGAACATAGCTGAGTGCTCGTTCGTCATTTTGTGCTACTTTCAGCTAAACTTTTTGTCTTTAAAGCAGCTAAATTGACCTTAAGTCGAGACTGAAAAGGTAAAATAGATCTTAAATCTAGAAGTCTCCCTGAGGTAAAGGATAAAAAGCTAAAAAAAAAAGGAGGGGTTTACTTTTTGTCGCTACAAAACAGTCAAACAGCTGAAGCGAGCTTAAACATACAGTGAGAGTTTTATTTTGAGGCGCTTACTTCACTTTTTAACAACTCCTGTGATTGAAACTTGAGGCAGTGACTGGCTCAGGGTAGAAAAAATAGAAAACATTATCATAAGTAACTGTAACTGTAAAAGTTCCCGGGCCATGCTACTGTGGTGCTCTTACAGGATTACAGCAGCCCCCAAGGCTTACAATGCCAGACCATCCCCTTCGTAGCTCACACTCTCAGTAGCAGGTGCGAACAAGGAAGATGAAAATGAAGATAACAGTTACAATGGTCAGAGCTGAGAATAGAAATACAAGACCGGCAAAGACAGGGTTGGCCATGGGAGGGATTGTTTTCACTTCAGATGGGATCATGTTGGACATACTCAGCATGTAGCCCAAACTCCAACCAATGCTGGTGTCCTTCACCTGTAGAAGAGAGAAGATAGAGGCCACATGTGTCCACATTATGGTTGATTACAGTTGCCCACGGGGATCAACACACTACGTTAAATTTTTATGAGGAAAGACAGGCTGACACTTTAGAAATACTTGCACAAGAAAAAAAATGTATGAAATGAAATAGAAACGCAACAAAACAGAAAACCATGTCTAAAAAATCCCAAATGAATAAAAGGCAAACTCCCTGAAAATACATTTATGAGGTGGAGTCAAAAGCAAACAAACCAAGCAAGTGAGTACAACAGAATAAACACGCAAGTCCAGCTATCACAACAAAAGTCTCCAGGCTTTTAGGGAGTTGTGAAGTTTGGTGAAATCAATTTTATGGATTTGTTTGACAGCAAGCTTGAGTCACTTCTAGCCCCCTCTGTTGCATAGTTTTTGTGTTTCCAAGATTGCCCCATTCATTTATTTGCTGCACGTCTGCCCTTGTTGCATTGGCAATTTGAACCAAGTCATTTTTCATTTGCAACACTTATCTGTTGTTCTCATCATTGTGGACCTTCTCTAAGTCATATCTGGGTTGTTGCAGCTCAGCTACTTTCAGCGCCGCTGCAGCTAATGCTGTACATTGCTTTGCATGTCTAGAGAAAAAACATCTCTGACAGCCCTGTTTTGAAGTTGCACAAAGCTCCAGGGCAAAAGATGAGTCACAACACCCAAAGACAATTCATGTAAAGAATCCAAGTGTGTCTATCTCGTAAAACCCTCCAAGGGAGACCAGCTGCCAGACTCGCAGACACCCCAAAGGCACCAAACAAAGCAGCACATACACTGCACACTTATTCCCTTGTTGGATATATTGGAAATTGGAAGCGCTGCCAGGTTTTGAAGAACGTTCTTGCAAGTCAAAAGGGTAACAGTCGCGCAATTAGGAAACTGCTACTGTCATGTGTCACTTTTTAATAGCCTCTTTCTTTTTCAATGACTCATGAGTGATAGACTGTTTCACGGAGAAGGAAACCCCCTCTGCTGAGGGAGTTCCTTTGTCAGAGAAGCGCTGTGTCCTGAGGGCATCCCAGAGCGATACATTGCCTGTCTTATACTCTGCCTTCAGCTTTTTGAGCACAGATGATCGGTATGTCAGCCATCCATCTTAAATGGATCCAAATGGGTGGCCTCGTTCACTCTGGTGTATGTTAAACACTGTGAAATGTCTGTGTCTGAACATGAAGGAAAGCTGACAGCCCAGAGCCGAAGCCCAGAAACTCCCATCAAACTGTCATGAAAATATTTTAGTGACTGTGGTCTTGTTTTCTTTCTTGATAAAAAATATTAAATGATAAAATATATTAATATAAATGTTATAATTGGACGAAATCTTATGAGCAAAAAGTGTTTCGGTGGGTGTGTTGTGTATTTGTTCAACTAACCTGTTTTTCAAAGTTTATATTTTTCCAAGTCTCTTCGTCAAACTTGTATCCATCTGCCAGCAAAGTGAAGACGTAATGAGCAGCATAACAATATGTCCTGAGATATCTGTCTGAGATCCAGTGCTTTTCTGCCCTCAGCTGAAAAACAGAGAAACAGGCTCATGGTCACAATTTTAGATTAGTAGAAACAGCTGAGATTGAATGCCAGTAACAGAGTTTTAATGTTCAATTTAAGATTCAAACAGATCGACTTTGTGACCAGGATAAAACCACAATATAAAGTGTTGAAGAGTGATTTTAAAGTATTGACAAAATAAGATTAAAAACTTGCAGATATCACAGTTACTATTTTATCACAATAAACTCAGTGCATGACTCCAGAACAACTTCCCGGCTAAAGATGTGTGTATTTAGATAAACAGAAAAAGAGGGCCTTTATCACCGTATAATGGAGAGAAGACCTTGAACATCACTGGTAAGTTGGGGAGGTAAGTGCATTTTCAACATAAGTGAGGGAATGCAGTCAGACAACTTTGCACATTAAAGGTTGTGATCTGCAGGTGTTTTGCCTCGGGAGGGAGCTACTCCTCTCTAGTCTTCAAGAGCAAAAAGGGGATGAGGAATGTGATTACCAAATGTGCTCTGAGTTGTTGGATCCTATCATTACTGCTTTGAAGTTTATGTGTGTTTCTTCTTTGATGCCGCCTCCTCTTCTTTGTAAATTCTTCTTCTACTTTATTATCTCAGTTATTTTATCGCCCTCCTCCTTCAGTGTTTCGCTGACACAGCTGTAAAACCACCAAAATTAACTCACCACTTTCCAATGTGAGTGGCAGAATTTTGTCACTGAGGCGTTGAACTGATTCAAGTCTGACGTCCCGTTTACCAGTAGAGCTCGAGCAGTGTAGAAGAACCCTGCGTACGCCTGTCAGGAAAAGCAGAAACATGTATGAGGCCATTCAGCTCTTTAGCCTCAATTTAAAGATGCAGTATTTTCACAGTATTTTTTACCATAAACGCTCCAGTAACAGGTGGCTGCTCCACCCCGTTGAATGAACACTGGGATGAGGAGCAAGTCTTGAAATCAAAAATTGATTTCACTATGTTGCCACATCCGTCAGAATCTGCAACCCCTACAAAGAAGAACTCTTGGTCTGGGTCGTAGTTTTGGGGTGTCTTTGTGCACTCTGTGTCATAAATGGCCGAGGCCTTCAGGGTGATGTTGAAGCCTTCAGGGTAGCAGGGATTAACAATGCGGGATGGGTCGGATGATTGCTGGAAGAAAACATCAGGCAGAGATAAATGTTGAGAAGAGGGTGGGGGGAAAAGCTCAGGATGACAAACGAGGGAAGAGTTTGGACAGTTTCACTCATGCATCCTGTCTTTTATTCCCATAACATATAATCACAGCCCAGCACTCTTCCTCAGTCATAATTAATAATGGTTTCAAGAATTAGGAAATAAGCTGCCAGAAAAAAAAAAATGCATTTCCAGCAGACTGGCTTGATGACATTCATGGTTGGATCAATATCCTTAATGACATAATGCATTCTTTACCGATCTCCCTTTTTGTGTTAGCAACTCAAGAACAACAGTGTTTATGCATTAATTCTTAATGCTTTTCAGTCTGCACATGCATGCAGAAAGCACCACACAGGCACTCTAAGCATAAACATAGAAAGATAAACTGAACACTGTGGGAAGAATACCAGGGAGATCTATCATTTCTTCTTTTTTTCAAACATGCAAAGGCAAAAAGACAAGCTGCATACTTGAACTACTTTGTCCAGAACCCTCTTCTCTGCCTCATTTTTCCCATAGCACAGGAAACTATGCGTATAGACATTGTAAGGATATCCATACAGCTTGACAGGCATGTAGTCAGGACCCTGGAGATCCTCCTGGACTGCAAAAGCAATCTGCGTAGACGCTCCACCGAGGTCCATTGAGCCAACAGTTTGTGCCCCTGATGGGCGAATATATTTGTTCAAAATGTGTTTCTGCAAAGACAAAGGAGAAAGTTATGAGTAGTCTCCTTTTTTATGCAAAACTCCATTTAGAGGAAATCCAACACTGGTTGACATAAATTGTTACTTACCTCTAGGAAGTTTCCCATGAGGTAGTTGACAGTGACCCACCCGTACAGCCCTTCCTCCTCACCAGATATGATGGAGGCGTTCTTGAAGTCGAAGGGCAAATAGCTGAGGTATTCTCTGAGACTCGCCAGGATTTCATTGGACTTCTGTTCATCCCTCTCACTTACAGCAGAGCAGGAAACAGAGCACAAAAACAGATCTCACTGAAAAAAGCAGCATGAGTGGAGTGAAAAATTGAGACAGTGTCTCAAAGAAGTCCATTGGCATATAAGAAACACACTTTCTTACCTCGAATGCAAATGAAAGATTTACACATCACCTAAATCCGTATGCTGTGAATTAGCTCAGCTTATCTGAGACAAATAGGGCTGTAAAGTCCAAGTCGACTGGACTTATTGGTCGATATGTGCTGAGTCGACCAAAATTCTGATTGGTGAACTCGATTTTTAAAGTCTATGGTAAATTTCATCATGAGGAACTAATGTTTTTTTTTTGTTTGTTTTTTCAGAGCGATCTGGTTTCACAGGTTACAGCCTGTCTCAGAACACCCCCTTGTTTTCACCATTTTTGATTCACCTAACCCACTGACCGGCTGGAGACAAGAAGATTGAAGAGCGTCCACGTTAACCAACGTCAGGTGGTTTGCCGAATATCTATTTTTGTTTTGAGCGTTTCAACTTTCATGTGAGTCCTCCTCTACCATCCATGTGAAAGACATCGGCAGCGCTTCGCCAAGCCGCATCGTCCCCCGGCTGCAGATTGGTTTGCCGTCAGAGTCGGAACCCTCACACCCCCGACTGGTTGATTTTTGGTCGAAATTTTCAAGGTTCAAATCAACCAAGAATTTCTTTGCTTGATTACAGCCCAAGAGACAAAGCTATCCTAGCCCTGCTTGGAAGTAAAAAATCTTAGCGTCTTTCCTCGATAACACATTATGTGAAGCTTGTTGAGTCAGTAAAAGGTTTGTCTCTTGTTTTCTAAGTTAAAACTAAAATACTTTGTGGAAGTGCTAGTTGTTTCTCTATGCTCATTGTCATTATTCCATGCTAAGCTGGGCTAAACTAGTTGTAACTTCATATCTATTACACCCACATCTACATATACAGCTGGAGTTGAATAAATAACAAGGTAAGAAAAACAAGTCCACTGGAAACTTGCTGTGAACTTTTTGAACCTCAACATCTGTTTGGACTACTATTTCCCCAACAGTTCACATTTCAGACTATTTACAATCTCATGTACCGAGCATTTCTTTGGAAAGACCAATATTTGGACAACAACATCATCAATTTTGTCCTACTTTGAGTCCTGGCGTAATTTTACTGCCAGGGCCTTTTCCATGATGAAACGACTATGCTGTGCATGAATGGGGTCTGAATAGGTCTAAGTGGCTCTGATCCTTCCTACCATTAACCCTTGTGAGTAATGAGGGGAGAATCAACAAAGCTGGCTTATTTCAACACTTTCTTACTGTAGCAGTCTCATTCCAGCAGTTGCTCCAAGAAATAGAGGCGTGGTTCTGTGTTTTTCAACAGGAATGGCTTTCTTGACTTCCTCCATGCATATGTTGAACGCCTCCCAAGATTTAGCATCTTTCTCTGGGTCAACTTTCATCTCTGAGATACCATCACCTGTGGGCACAAAGCCAAGCTTGAAATATGTCCTTCAGCACAGGGGCTTACATTACATACATTGAGAGGCACGTGCATTAATGTGCATTTGTTACATTTTTATTTTCATCAGCTGATTGAATGTTGAGAAGAAACAGAAGACTCACCAGCAACTCTGCAGTTCGTCTTCTCTGTCACCACTCCTGTGTCGTTCTCCTTCTCTCCAGGCCACTCGTACACGTACACATTTGAGCGAGATGATCCCGAGTCTATCACTATACCATACTGCAGAGTAGAAGACAACATAATTAGTCCACATCGCTGCATGTTTTACCTTGAAAAGTATACAATGTAAAATTCCTAAAAGGTCTGGCAAAGAACCTAAAACTAGAAACAGGCTGCTTTTACTTCCAGCACCATCCTTAAATAAACACATATGGTCAAGCAGGACCACCATCAATCATCAGACCCTGACCCTAACATCTGGAAATCCTCCAATGTGACATTCAAAACATCGACACAATATCACCTCATTAAGTGATGCAGATCTACAGCCTTGAATTTATGTTCACGATGTGTGCACTGACCTCCATTGTGTACTCTTTCGTTCCCCAGGTGTCCTGGATGACAGCAACAGCGACCAGAGCAGCGATACTGGCCAGGAGGAGAAGCAGCACTGCTGCTATGCGACACTTGTAGCCAACTGGCCGTTTGGAGGCCATTTTCTGAAGGTGAGAAATAGAGTCAAAGAAAAGAATGTGGTTTTTACTAAAAGCATCTTAGCTCTGAAAGTGATGTTATGAGGTCTGAAAAGTGATGATAAGCAAAAATAAGAGCACTTTATTTCATTAGAGCTCAAAAAAGATTATGGATGCATTAACATTTCTGACATCAGCAATATCTGCACATTAAAACACATAAAGGAAAGGCAGATCAAAAAATCGCCTCAAATGACAAGTAGCTGCCTGAGTTTCCGACCACAGTGAGATACATTATCTTCCTGAGATTATCTGTGGTCTGAGGGTTAGTCTGCTTGGCAAAGTAATGAAACAGAGTTTAGTTATGAGTTTATTTTTATCTGAAAATCAGAATACAAGCCTGTAGACTTGTTGAATAAAAGGTTCAGTATTTGAGGTGTTTGTTTCTTCGAGGGTTTAAAGGTTTGCACTTTAGCAAGAGGAAAACAGGTTTTAAAAGGAGTGCAGTTAAACAACCAGGTACAAATTTGCTGCTGTCTCATGAAAGCTGCATGTATTTAGCCTCAGGCATTAGTTGTGTTGTTTCTATAAACTTGAACTGCATGTGCAATCGGACTTCAGCTCACAAATAATAACATCCTTACAGGTGTATCCACCAATCTATGTCACCGCACTGACTGTCAGCCCTTATTATGGTCTTAAGAAGGACCACATCAGTGCTGCTACAATACAGTTTTGCACAAACAACAGTGAACCTGGCATTGAAACTGAATGGGTTTGGTTGACACAAGACCGTTCCCAGCAGCTTGAAGGAAACAGCTTGGCATGTTGGCCCAACACTTCATTATTCGACAAACTCTTCATGTCAAGCTGCATCGACAGAGATACCCACCCCAGAGATAAAACATGTCCTCCCAACTCTTGATCAAACAGATGTTATGCAAAGAACTGCTGTGTTTAGCTAGTTGGCACAGTAACGGAAAACAGAGTTTCTTGCTGGATGCAGCATGTGGACTTTGATATCGAATTCTTAAACACATGCTAATGAAAGAAACATTTCTTTGTTGTTAAGACTGTTGGTCTCAGAAAAAAAAACCCACACTCTAGTTCTACAGATGTACAATGTGGCTGCAATTATCATGCCGACACAACTGCAGCTCTTTTCTTCTTACATGAAAACACAGATTCCGGTGTACTTAGAACTCAGTTTTCCAATTTCCTGACTTGATCCTTTTACTTACATGCATGTTCATATAAATTCTGCATTTTTGGTTGATATCAACATCTCTGAAATGCAAGCCACCTCAGCATGCTCATCATGTATTATGTACAGGAAGAGCTGCATATTTTGATTTCAAGAAAAGCACTACAAACACAGTCAAGCAGAGTGACCTAAGCCCCCTGCTAAAACATATAATTCCCACCTTGTGTTGTCTTTTTTCGTCTAATTACAGCCTTGTTTTCGTCATGAGGTAGTGCTGCCTCAGCTTGTCACAGGTGTTGTTACCGCAATGTCAAACACAATCCAGCGTCTCACCCGCTGTATCTTGCCAGTAAGAGTCCCTGAAGTTTCTTTTTTTGAGTTGGATTAATCCCAAAGTAAATATCTGAATCCTCCTCTGTCAGACTGTAACAACATCGGGAAAAAGCAGTGTTTGTTCTTCTTGAAATTACAGCTGTCAGAGTCACCCCAGCAACCTCAGTGGAAACAAGCAGGTCAAAGCTGTTCGACAAGGTGGGATTACAAACTAGGGACATGACAGCAGGTATGTCTGATGCCTCTGAGGAGACAGTTTAACACTGCACTGTGAGACTTGGTTACCCACAGCTCAATTAACCAGTTAGTGATAATGATCATGATTTTTTTTTACTTGACATCTTCAGCTGCTCTCCTATTGTTAATTTTCAGAGGCAGCTTCAGAAGCTTTGTGGTTTTTGCAGACTTGCGGCCAGCTTTGACAAAAAGCAAGTCAGTGGTTGCCTACACCTGCTCTCGTTTCAAGCCTCCTTCCTTTCAGCATATGAAAGTGAAAATATATGCCCCCATCCTGCCAAGATTATGACAGAACATGTTCTCAGTGAAGCAACTAGAGCTAACATTCCTGCATGTCCACACACAAACACCAAACCAGCATTATTATGTTACTCATGTTCTGTCTGCACGGGATTGAAAAAAAGTAAAAGTGTCTTTTCCGTGTGTTTGTGTGGCACCCACTGGAGACAGAGATGTTTTGATCATCTTTGAAAGCAGCACAAGTTCATTGATCTCCAGCTTCCCTGGCTCTACTGATGGCTCGTCTGGTCATTATCATCACAATCATGTTGGCTCCAGGGTGACTGAATAATGTCAATGACTTTAAGTGATGTCCATTACAGTGGTTTAAACTACTGTACTAGTAACGACCTTCTTAGTGCAACACTCTGAGGGTCTGTGTGTGTGAGAGAGAGTTTGAGTTCTTGTTGTTGTTTTGGCTGTTTTTATCAGCAACCTCTCAGATTTTTTGTCGAGATGCATGGTTTCTCCATCAGTCAACCTCACACATACAGATCAAGCTCTTACTTGCCTTTTTTAAGCTGGCTGCTGTACAATAGTAAAACAGGAGGGAAAACACTCATGAGGAAACCTGATCTGGCTTGAATAGTGAAGATATTTTCCCCTTTTTTTTCATTGCAACATAAAAAAATCTCCCCCTTTCTTCTTGTTTGTAACTTAAAAGAGTCAGTTCTGTGTATGAGATATGATATATAATCTCTTGGTCTATAATCACATTCCCTTCTGAATAAAATTCCTCTTTTTTAAAGTTTTAGCCTTTATCATTATACATTCAAAATGTATACACAGCAAGCAGATGTGTTTAAAGTGAAGTAGCACTCGACTGCTGGATAATACATTCTTGTTCTTCAATCAAATACAAAGAAGTCTATTGACCCTGTAACCCACCCTCATGAGGAACACCCCCTCTTACTCTTCATTCATGCAAAAGTAAACAATGTGCTCCCTAAAACAGAACTAATTCTTGAGTTTTGATAGAATAGTTTGAAAACCAGGACGTATAAGGTTTGCATCAAGACCCATTGTTTAAGCTCTGGATGAAAAAAACTCTATTTACATGTGTTGGTGCTTCTGCCTGTAGAGACTGAGGTGTAAGGATAGCTATGGTTGAATATCAGCACATGAGTTGACTCCCAGACAACGAATCACTCAGGGAGAGGTTAATGATTGCTTTGTTGTCAGGTAAATAAATACTTGTAAGGAAGTGTGTTTGTTTCTTACCTTGCAGATTAGAGTTGTAGATCCTGGCTGGGAGCGAGAGTGGGATGTCTGTGAAGAAGAGAAGAGGGGAAGCAAGGGAGCAGCAAAGAAATGAAGAAAAAGGAGAGAGAGAGAGAGAGAAAGAAGAGTACGGGAGTGTGCTGTGAGTGGGGAGCTCTGAAAAGTGATTGGCCCGCAGGAACAGGAGAGTTGTACCCCCTACAAAACACAGAGTGGGGGAGAGAGGGCACATGGGAGGAGCAGTATGTGCATACACACACACAAACACACACTCCAGCAGACACCACTCCCACCACACTAGAGAACAGCGGAGAAAGCCCAGCCTGTGAGTGATGTAAGGCGGTTCCTGGTGCCAAATGATTAAGTACAGATACCAGTGTGTACGTATGAAACTATGTGAGAAGAGAGGGAGAGAGAGAGAGGGACTTAATTGATGTGATCAATACGATGAAGTGCAGTGTGGCGGACTATCTTCTGCACAGGCTATCAAAGTCAGCTCTTGTTTTCCAGCCTTGAGTAGGAGAACAATTGGTGAAAGCAAAAGGATCAAGTACTGTGCACACAATCGAGGATGTGTTGGCACTTGCAGCTCCTGATCCCATGTGAATCTGAATTTCTCACAGCAAAAACTATGAGTCATTCATTAATCAGACAAAGTACAGGAACTGTGCTTCAGTCTGGTGTGTTTGTTTTGCTTACAGATGTTGAAAAGCAGAAAAAAATCTCTTTCAATTGCATCCGCATGTGTGTGTTTGGTGTCTTTCATGTGCTTTCCGGAAACATGAGAACCCCTTGCATGTTTGTGTGTTTGTGTGTGTGTGTGTGTGTGTGTGTGTGTGTGTGTGTGTGTGTGTGTGTGTGTGTGTGTGTGTGTGTGTGTGTGTGTGTGTGTGTGTGTGTATGTAATACACAATTAACAGGGTGGGGAGTCTTTTGTTTCTGTCATTTGTTATTCATTCATCCATTATTGGAGCCTCTTAGCAGGTCTTACTCATTCACCAGCCTTTATGAATGCTTGATGCTCACAGGCAACTGTCAGCATCATGATGCATAGAGTTATGTTGTGCCACAATATCCTCAACTGAATCAGATCAAGACCACATCATTCTCTTACAGGAACTGCATCAATTTTACTTTAATGTCCATTTGATACTCACAGAGGGAGTTTTACAGCCTCCGAAAATAGTTGCACAACACCCGCTGTAGCTCTGGACAAAGTTCTTAGGAAATTACTCGAGTGAAACCAAACTGAGTGAATTAGTTTTGGCTCGGTGACCACACATTTAAACATGTAAATATATTCTTACAGGGAAAGAAGTTTGTAAGATGCTTTGGTTAACTAAGTGGTGAAGAAGCACTCAAAACTCAATCCACTTGCATTATGGGAAGTGCAGGGGGAAGTATTTGTGGGGCTTGACTAAAGGCGCAAAGGTTAAATTAGCCGTCTCATTATTTAATGCTACTGCAGCAGTCTTATCTGGTAACACAAATATAGTAAGATGATTATTTTTTTAAATAACTATTTGAATGCCTGTTGTAGCAGGAGCAGGGTCAGTGTCAGTTGAAACAATTTACAGTCCTTGCCCAAGCAGCCTTTGTTGACATTTTCCCTGGAAAAATTTAATGATGAGATGTCTTCAGCAGCTGACAAACAGGAGGAGAGTTTTAGCAAACCATAGATGAGATGCTGCCACATCTACTCAATATGCCACCATGATGGAAAAATAACACCATTTGGCTTTTATCAAAAATAACAAAATAACAGACAGTTCAGCTGACAAGTCAAAGGTAATATGCTCTCTGGGTCAATCAGAAGTAAAAAAAAGTCACCAAAGTAAGGGTAGATCAATCAATGACCACAGAATTATGCCAATCGTCTATAACGCCCTTTTGTTTCACAGATAGCCAACAAAAATCTTACATTTTAAGAAAGAGTTGTGACATCTCAAATTCTTAATTTTGGCAGAAGGTTTTTAGCTTCTACTGTCAATGCGTACCATTTCCAAATATCAGTGTCATGGGCAGGCAACAGCCACACAAGAGCTGGCAGAGCCCAAATTTGGAGAGTGCAAATTGCCACTTAGCTGTGGATGAAATTAAATTGAACAAGTGAACAACATCGCTGGTTAAATAGCAACTGATAGCAGGCCAAACAACGATGTCAAGATGCATTCATTAAATTTTAAAATCAAGACAGTATTAATAATTTCCTTACATTTTTATTATTGACTTAAAAACAGTTTAGAGGGAAATTTACACATGCAAATAAAAATGCAAACAATTTCTATCAATGTAGCTATAAATATTGACTGAACATTGACATTTGTTGGTATCTCCACTACACATCTACTGGTCATTTTCTCTGCAGGTGTTGTCCATCTATGTTCAAATTGAATGTTTTTGTGATATTTCTTCCAGTTTGTCTAAATTAATGTTTTGTCCGTAAAAGTCTGGATGGTATTGGTTTTACCTGAAATATATGCAGCCCATGGAAAACTGTTACATATAAATGCAGATGCAACCATTGTGTACCCACAAACTCATTTCTACATTCACCCTGTGTTTTGCATTATTTCACTTCTACAAGGATCTAAATCAAGCAGTCAAAACTAAGCTCTCTGTCACAGTCAACAGTATGACCCACACTGTTCAACCTCAGCCGGAGGCTTCTCTGAGCTACGTTTTCTAAGAATGTGAACAACACTCAGGGGTCTGAGGATCTCACAGCTAGTATTAAAAACCAGTCTTTCCACATGCATTTGGCATTTTGGCTTTTTTCCATTTTTTAAATGACATATCCATCCTATCATTGTCTGCTTTTCAAATCCAGTGGATTCCTCAACATTTCAGTCAGCGCTCTCCTGGTTTCTCCACTGCTGTCAGAGAAGACAGTTATGGGGCCACTCAAAGTGAATTACATGTCCGATTCGGTTCTCAGATTAAGATTAATTATCTTTAGTTGCATGAAGTGAGACCTGAAACCAACTGGACTGAATGAACCGGAAAGACAGGGTGCTGAAAATTAGATTTTCACCTGGAGAGGAAATAGAAGGCAGAAAGCTATTGAACAGTATGTAGGGAGCGTCATGGTAACACAACTGTAGTGATACTTTTGCATTACTTCAGATGTACTGTCAGGAATGCTTGTCCTGTATAGTTTTAGACATTATCTGCAGGCTTGAAGGTCTTCTACTGCAGCACAAACAGTGAACATCTGTATGATATCAACATGAAAGGTTGGGTAAGTCAGAAGTTAATGAAAACATTGTGTTCGTGTTCTCAACTGGGTTTCCCTCTTGTGAAGTATTTCCAAATATCTTACAGCCTATACTGCAGACATCTTGGCTTTAGGGTAACTATTAACATGCTGTTCCAAGCATTTTGCAAAAATACTGCTGCTTTCCAAACACTTTTTTGAACCCAATGATTTTGATTAAAAATGTTGATAAAAGCTGTCAGATATATGTATCGTATTTCCTGTATTCTCATGCTGTCATTATATGTTTTGTGAACTTAGTTTTCTCCTTGTGTTGTTTTCTTTGAGGGTATTTTCTTTGTGTTTTTCCTGGTGTTTCTGTTCCCCTGTAGCCCAGTCTTGTGAGTTTTCAGTTCGGTTCTGACCCGGTTTCCCTCATGTTGTCAGTGTTTTATTCTTTGTATCAGTTTTCAGTGTTTCCTGTTTTATTTTGTAGTCGTTGATTCCCTGTGTTTCTAGTATTAATTTACTTCCTCAGTTTTCCCTCCTTTGTTAATCACCCATGAGTTTCACCTGTATCTCAGTGCCTCACCGGCGTTTCCCTGTATTTGTATATATAGTCCCTGTATTCCACTGTTTCTTTGTTGGTTCATTGTGTGTATGTTTGTCAAAGTGTGCATATGCCAGTGTCTCCTTGTGATTATTTCCCCCCTAGTGCCTTTTGTTGGATTTGGGTTTTTTTTTTGTTTGGAAGTAAGTTTTTGTAGTTTAACTCCGGATCTTGACACATGCACCAACTCTAGATAACAACCAATCAGACACACCTTGAAAAAGGAGACATGGAAAATGATGAAATTAAACATTGCTTACTTTAAGTTATCACATGCATGTAGGTTGATAAAATAAGGCTTATATAACCTGTTCAGCCCTGGCCTGGAAACTGTAGGGTTGCTGGTTCTTTGACAGATCAGACCAGCAGCTGGAGCCGAATGAATTAGAAGAACTGTCCACAATTTAGACAAAGTTTGGTCTAAAGATCTATAGAAGCAAGTCAGCTGTACATTTCATAGATACATTAATGTCTAAGTTGCCTTCACTGTAATTAAATTAGCAATTTCTCGCAAATATGTATAGTATTTCTCATATGGCTTTGCGATTAGTCAAAACTTAAGAACTTATAAAATGTTAGTCTGAATTGTTAATGCATCAGAAAATCAATTACTGTCCATTTTCACTTATTTGCACAAAATGTTATAGTGTTGTACATTCTTCTTGGCACAATATGGAGGGTCCATCAGCCTCTCAGCATTACCAGCTATACATTAAGACAGTTGTCGGTCCTTAGAGATTTGGAAAGCTGCCTGAGCGTGTGTGTCTGGATCTATGCTTTCAAAATGAATCCCTGCCACAGGCTCAGGCAGGAAATGTTGTGGTGGTGTTAAGGCCAGATCAATTAGTGGACAGAGGCACTTCAAATCCGCAGAAAGACCCTAGGCTAGGAAATATGAATATCTCAGTTTCAGCAGTGGTTGGTTTGAGTTTGCATCGTGTCTTCTTCTGTCTCTTGTCCCGCTGCCTCTTCACCTTTAAGGAATCAATCAAACTCGTTGCAGTGTCACAAGATGCAGTTTACCAGTACAGAAAATTTGGGAATTACATACTGGAAATGACTCAGCCCTTGAGTCAGATGTCTTTATCTTGTCTTACTAATCTGGGGAATTAGAAATCTTAAAGTGATATCAGGAAATAAATGGTTATATACTGGACATTTTAAATCATAAATACTGCTTAACCACTGATGGAAAATTGTCCATCAAGTCTCTAATGCATGGGTTTCTAATGTGCGGGCTGGTGCACTTTAAATCCATCCATCCAAAGCCGAACTCAACGGGGTCCTCTTTGTGGTGGCCACTGTAGAAAACTGCCATTTTTACTTTTTTTAAAAATTTATTTAACTTTATTTGATCTCACAAAGAAACGCACATAGTAGTTTTAATGAGTAACGTAACTGACAGAGTGATCATTTTCCACTCTCTAAAGGTTGCTGTTTTTCATTCAACTAAATTATATAATGTGATACATGTTAATCAGATTTAAATAAGAGATGGATTTTTCTGGGAATCATGTTTTCAATTTTTCAGATTTTCCTGAAATTTGGCTTCTCAAGCCTCATAGAAAAGATTTCAATGCATGTATAGTTGCAGTTGTCTTGATGAGGGTACTGGCTAAAACAAGTAACTGTGGAATAACAATTTCGTGCTTCTGCGTTGCATCGAACTATCTTCTTCGCCATTGATGTTCCAGGGAGAGAGCCCCTTTGAAAACCCAATACCTCATGTAAACAAAAGCTGTGAAATAACACTCATCACAGTATTGAATTATCAGAAAGGAAACACTTATCCTAATAGAACTCAATGTATTAAATATGGTGTATGTAACGTGATCTCTGAGGTCTAGAGTGGAACTATGACTTCAGATTCATTTATGCGCTGTAGCCGCTTGGTCGTAATGTTTCCCCTGCTGATGCCTCTCAAGTGAGAACATCTCTGTGGCAGGTAGTAAGCCAATAACCTCAGATGATAAATTTTTGAAGGGTACTGTACAGGGAGGAGATTTATTTTGTCTCATTTGGATTGAGTAGTGAACAGTGGCATATCATGACAATGATAAAGATAGTTTGTTAAATTTGCTGTTAGCAGCGTTAGTGTCCATCTGGAGTCTGTTTTCTCCTACAGTAGGTGGAAACCAAGTCCAGTATGCATTCTCCTTTCAGCTCAGCTTTGCTCTCGACCAACTCCTGTGGGGGAAATTTCATGCTGTTGGGCTGCCAGATGCTCTAATGTGTTCTTTCACCAGATACACTGTGTTTCTGCTGCTTTGTGCAAGGCGGGGAGTACACTTTTAGATTTTTAAGATCTGTCTGAAAAGAAACAAAAAATGATGACAGCTAAAAATGTGTACAAAAGTTAAAAGACAAAAAAACTTAACACGAAGCAAATGACAAAAACTTGAAATGTGTTGAAATAAATAAATAGCTTCCACATCTTAAGGGGACACTAAATTAAAATCTAACAAACACTTCGATTACATTGAAGGTTTGGGTTGTTGGGAGAACCAGGTTTCCAAGTCACATGAACCGGGGACACAGCTGGGCCTCAAGAAACATAGATTCCTATTGAAAGATGAGATGATACAAAAAAGGGATGCTTTTCTTACCAGTTCTGCTCCTGGCCCTTCCCAATCCCATGCTGGGCTGCAGAGAATCTCCGGTCTACTGTAACGTTACACACCCTGCCAATAGACCACATTCCCATGGCAGCCATATTTATGTGTTGTCATATTTTTGAGGGAAACTAATGTTCTCATGTATTAGTGTTCCAGGTGGCAAGTCATATAATCTTCAAGCCAGTAGCAGGATGAGAAATCTTGTGTATGAGAATTTCTCAATAAAAAAATGTAAATATTACTTCTGGATTGGGGTTTATATCCTTGTCAAAGGTCTCGCAACCATAGACTGTATATAGAATGGATGCTGTCTGCCTCCTCACTGGGTGAAGCCACCCCAAGGACAGCACCCTCTGGTGACGGGCTGCAGTATAGGTCATAAGTCCCGCCTCGTCCAGCAATCCTTATGGAGCTGTGGACAAACTTTAGAAATTTATTACACAGAATATAATTTTTCTCCCCCTTACTTGCGATGTTGACATGTAGTCACTGTAAGACTGGTTTGTGCTCAAGTCCTGTTTTTTCTGTACAACTCCATTTTTAAAAGTTATTAGGGGGTTCATGTTTGCTATGATTGACACTTGATACAGCCTATGGGCGTACGAAGATTATGTAGCTCACCTGGGCTACATGCAGTTTGACCCGAGCATCATCACAGCGATTCTCCCGCCGAATGCGTACAATGGTACTGCACAAGTGGTGGAGTGCGCACAACGCAGAGCCAGCCCAAGGCAGAAGCGAACTAATAGGGGGCTCTCAAGAGCAATAAAAATAAATAAATATATTTTTTATTTTTTGAGTGATGCTGTCTGTGTGATCAGATATATTTTATTGTAAAAATAAAATAAAGTAAAAATATTTTAGTGCTGCTGCTGATGTAGGCCTATGATTCTTACTGCTGATATGTCGAAGCTCCACTACCATTATGTGCCTTTTGCCGTGCAATGTCCACTGACCATCCAAAGCGCAGGTAGCTGTGGGGCGAAACGATGTCGCATAAAAAAGGATACATCCTTCAGGAGCAGAGAAAAGAAAGAGGAAGAGAAGAAAAAATTCCAAGATAAAGGTATGTTTGCATGTCATGGAATGTTAATCGAAGAGATTTGTGAAGGTGTGTGAATGATCAATATTATTGGCAGAAATAGAGGGCCCCATCATCAAATTTTGCTTAGAGCCCCATTGAGGCTTGGGCCGGCTCTGGTACAATGCTACTGTGCAATGTTGGTTTCAGGAAGTGGAGAAAAATCGCGGAAATACAGAGAGCTTTTCAGCTTCAAATCCGTATACTAGCAGAAAGACAAACCAAGTTGTCTATAGTATATACAGTCTATGCCCACAACACACACAATTAGACAATGTGTTCTGCCCGAACTGATGTGATGTGAAAATAAACAGAAACACAAACATCCTTTTGAAGTAGTCAACTATAAAGTAATCATTTTGTTGGAGCAAAAATGTATTTTATCATTATATCTATATTTTTTGTAACAGAAGTTCCAACTTAGAAGTGGCTGAATGCTCATGTGGGTTCCTTTACTAGCTAATAGGCTGTCAAATAAGTTTTTTAAAATTGAAATATGGCTGCATTCTAGCTGCAGTCTTACCCTCCATTGCCCATTTGGCTTCTTATCAATCAGGGTCCATGAAATGACCACAACTTCTCACATTATTGAGGTATGTCATCCACAGCGTGACATCAGAAAGAAATGGCCAGTGTGCGACTGAATCACAAAACCATCAAAGTTACCCAAGTAGTTTATGACTGCATGTATTTTGGTTTTCATCAGATGTGGCATAGTCATAATTTGAAGCATGTTTCTGATGCTTTCTTTTGGCCTCTGCACTGTACCTATTTTAACCAATTATACTCATTGTAGCCCAAAGCGACATCTGTGACAATGGTAGACCAATACAGTATAGTCAGAAGAATAACTCTAAAAAATGCAATTAAGCTCAGTGGTTCAGTACTTGAACTTAAGTATCGAACTAAAGGTTGAACTGACTACACTTGCAAAACGAAAAGGTTGAAAGTAAAGTCTTTGTGTAGGTGACATCTCTCAACATTTTCTAAGCACTGGGAATTTTCTTCTACTAAGGTACTATGAGTCTTACCTCCAGCCACAGATGTAGTTAACTGTGTCTTTATATACAACAAAACTATATGTTTGACTCAAAGACATTCTGGCCAGACGCAGGTCATGAAGATGTGTAAATCTGTTGGTGTCGGTATTTACAGCATAGTTTTGAATGTAGATCACCCAGTGGCAACTGCGTAGCTGTGACTGGATGGAAGACAGGTCAGCCTCAGTGGAGGCAGGACGTGTAACGGTGCCCTCCTGTGGTCAAATTATGCAACTGCAACTCATGACACATTGACATGCCCTGAGAACCTTTTTTACACTGTAGAATTTTATCAAACGCTAAAACAATAACCATGTCATTAAAAATTATTTTCTTTTTGAAAATGGTGGTGAGTTTTTTTTTAACTCAGACTTTTACCTCAATAAACAAAAAAGTTATCTCTAAAAACTCACATTTGTATAAGTCTCATTACAGTAGCAGAGGTCTAAATTAAATTATAAGCCATTAAGAGCAGTTGCCTTAAAGTTCTTACATTGTAGGCTAAATTTTCCAGTATAAAATTTAAATTTCATATGTAATGTTTGAATGGGTTTTTTTTTTTCAACAAAAAAGGTAACTTTGCCATTGTGTACATAAGGAAAGTGTTTTAATGGAAGAGCCAAGCAGTTCAAGTTTAAAAAAATCAGAGCTCCTCCTCTTACTGATCAGTTAGAGGTTATATCACACATGTATGTGTTACAAAGCTTGAACTAACCTGTGCTTTTCAAACAGAGCCCCGGAGGTGATCTTGGGTCTCCCCTTCACAGAGGCCATAGACATGTGGGGTCTTGGATGTGTACTCTCAGTGCTGTTCCTCTCCTGCCACTTGCTTGAGATAGGCTGTGAGTACCAGAAGGTAAGTAACTCCTTTCATTGTTATTTAATCACTCAGGCAGAGAAATATTACTCCAGAAATAGTCCAAACTCAACCAAAGACCCGGTGTAGAGTGGTTCTTTGTGTTTGGTCCTAGATAATGAACATTTTGGATGTCCTTGGTCAGCCTGGTAACCATCTGCTTGATGCAGGGACCTTCACTAACAAGTTCTTTAACACAAACCAGCACTTGGAAGTGGTGGGTGAAGGTCTTTCTACTCTAAGCAGTTTAAACTGTTTAAGCTGTGACCTAACCAGATTGTTTCTTCCATAAACTGATTTCAGGACTAAATATCTGATATGCACACTATGTTTTATTCCTGTAGTCGCCCATGGAGTATAAAAAAACAACTGGGGTTGAGCTCCAAAAGAGTGAGAGGCCTCTTAATAACCTGGATGAGATTGTTACAGTAAGTGAGACATTTGAATGAATAGAGAGAATAAATACAGATTCACTTCTGAGACATTTGAGCGAATAAAGTGAACTTTCTTTAATTCGTTTCTATTGTAGCTTCCCCCAGGTGTTAAGGAGTGCATCGAGCTGGAGGATAGGAGAGCTTTAGTGTGCCTCCTGAAGGGGATCCTCGACTCCCATCACAATCGGAGGATCACTCCTGAAAAGGCCCTGAAACACCCCTTTATAACAATGGTGCATCTAGAGGAGGAGGCAGACTCCAGCATGTCGTAAGCGACAGTTATCTGGTTGCAGAGATGTTTCCCTTAATGTACAAGGATTTGAAAACTAATCATGAACTAATTTTAGTGTGGAGGAAGCGTTTTATAAATTGACTCTGGATCTATCTGAGAGTTCAGATGAGGGTCTTAATTTTGACCCAGTAGAGGATGACAAGCCCCAAACTGAGGAAACTTCAGCCCTCCATCCAGCAGAACCAGTCCCCTCAGGCTCTGAATGCCCTCTATCTGATAATACATCAGTGAGGAGGAGAAGCCCACTGGAACAGACGAGGAGTTTCCTCACTAGGGCCATAAGATCTGTTTTAAGGATCAAGGCTTCAGAGAGGTGAGAAGGTGACATCTTGTGGTGATTTGGGTAAATTACAGTTACTGCTCATAAATAGGCTATGTTAAGGTCAGTGGATTTTCTTTACACACTATGGGTAATCGTTACTCCACACTCTCACCTGTTCAAACCATAATAATTCACTGATGGCACCACGAGTGTTGCCACAGGACATTTTATGAACATATGAAAAGCAGGATCAAACCCCAACCAACCAGTCAGAGGTTACTGTCGACTACAGAGTCACCCCTTTAGACATTTAGTCTGTCTTTACACATATTTGTAAGACCTTCACTGTCTTAAAATGTTTAAAGAAAATCTACCAAAGATTGGTCTGTTCACCTTTTCTTAAAATCTGGAGTTGGCTACCAGATGAGCATGCACAAAAAACAACAGATACACAGAGGGCAATTCATTTCAGTCATAGCTTCTTTATTTTTTTCTTGCGTTTTGTTCATCACAACCTTTCCAGATTGTACATGTCAGTCCTTTTTATAATCAATGTAAACATTCAACTTAGAAAATTCTTTTTTTTCAGAGTAAACAAAAGTTCCAGTTAAAAGAAGGAGGTAGCCTATCTGTCCAGTTTCTGCCATGAACTCTGTCAGTCTCTTCAAACAAAACTCAGGGGTATGTGACAGTTTGGACTCTGCTGCCTGAGCTCCTCCAGTCTCATTTCTAGTTTTCGTGTGAGGGAGTTGAGCTGTGCAGCCTTCAGCATCTCTGGAAACTCTATCAGCTGCTCTTGTGTTGCTTCTGCCAGCCAAGCTGTGACGTGATTCGTGAGAGGACGTCTGTGCAGGGGTCTCCTTCTCTCTACCGACTTACGAATGTACCTATGGGAGGAAAATGATGGTTTTCAGAATACATTTTTGAGCTTATCAATAGATGAGAAGAGGGGAGGGCTATTTTTCAGAGAGAGTCATAGTGTGAGCTTACTTTGAGATAAGTTTCCTCAATTTTGGCGCTGGCATTTTGTGCTCGTTGAGGAAGCCAATGAGAAACCTCCTGAGGGTCTCACCTGAGGAACAAAGATGTGCTGCCTGAGTAAACTCTTGACAGGAATAAAATTCAATTTTCTTTTCTAAATCTGAGGAGGACAAGATATAAAAACCAGGAAGAACGAAGCCCAAATACTCACTATTGTTTGCAAGATCCTCACAGGAGCCACACACTGTGTCATGGAAAATGGAGCCAGGCATGAGGACAGCCTGTCCACTGGCACATGTCTGGTGATTTATGCATGGCTCAGATGCTGAGGATGAGTTTGAGAAGGTTCCCTCTGAGCATCTTCGACAGACAGTGTTCTTACGTGGAGTACCTGCAGAAAATACAGGGTGAAAAGCATTTGTGAATTGCAGAAATATGGACTGAATAACCTTAAAATCAGATCTGATTGTGGGAGTCTTGAAAATATGATTAACTTGTGGGATTAAAAATGTGATAGCATTATAGCAATGACACCAATAAGCTGATCTTTTATCCATCCTACCTTCGGTGTGAGCACCATGCCCAGGCTCACACTCTGAGTGCCTGGCACAGAAGTCATGGATCATGTAGTAGCCCTCTTTGCATCGGCACACCCTATCTCCAAACGCTGAGCACTCAGTCTCCACCTCCATGTTGTCCTGGCAGATGGTGCCGCAGTACAAACACCTGGGCAGGTAGTTCCACAGCTCAGTGTAGTGGTCCTTTTTGCATGGGTCACATTTTGTGGGTGAGGTGGCAGTGCAGTGGGAGGTCATGTGCGTGCCAGGAGGACACATGGTACAGAGGTTGATCTCGCCTGTCAGCGGGTTATGGCGCTCATAGGTGGGATCAGCCTCACCATGGGGGATGTTTGAGATGAGGAACAGCACCGGTAAGATGAGCTGAGGAAAGGAGGCAGGTTATTGAAATGTCTGGTTCTGCAGCCTGAGTACATAAATACCTTTTTTTTTTACCACTATAGCTGCTTTTACAACCAGCACTCTTCTTGAATTAGCTGAGTGTTCAAACACAATTTCCCTTTTTCAAGAAAAAAAACTTAAACAGTCTCTACTAGTGAGTGAGAGTTGAAAACAGGAATGTCACTTTAAAACTGAACAAAGTTAGCTTCCAACTAATGGCAGAGGTTCCTATAGTGACACATTATGTCAGATTAAATTAAATTAAATTAAATTAAAATTTTTAGTTATTTTAAGTTAAAATTCTGGAGATTTTACATGAAACTAGCTGTAAAACAATACGTCTAAATCCTGCAGCTGCCTCTGTATGAGGTGAAACAATACTATTGTCTGTGAGAATACTCACCATGGTGTGCATGTTGCCGTTCCTGTTGATGAGGCTTTGACAGTGTGACCAGCTTCATTTTATATGCTACAGTTCCTGAGGAACCATAGACTTACGTGGGTGTTTTTTTTTTTCTCCTGTGGTTTTGATGATATTGAGAATATTTTAAAGGTCAAACCAATTTCTGCTGAAGCTTCAAATCAAATATGATATGTAAGTCATACAGGTAATAAAAAAAATGATGTTTTCTATTACATAGAACCTCGCTCTCTCTTTTTTTCATGATGAGAAAATATTTCCACTCATTTGCTTGAGGTGTTCAGGCTTCATTGCATATAACCAACACATTTGCTGGTGCCCCGACAGTCTTTTTTTTTTTCCAAAACAATTTCAAACCTTTTGATTCCTGTTATTGCCCTTTATGTTTTCCTGCTGTAAGTGCTGTCAATGTAAGAGAAATACTATGTACATTTTTTTTATGCATTTTCTTCCAGTAGATCATTCCTTCAGTTCAAAATTCATGGCTTTATCAAGTTGTAGAAAAAGTAATTTTACATTTTGATCGTTGAGGTTTGTGGGGTTAGGTGAGCTCATAGCCAATTTATCTTTATTTCTTACCAAGTGCATGTCACTATTTTCTGGACTCTACATGAAGCATTTGTGACTAAAATACAGACAACTTTCTACTACATAAAAATCATTCCTAAGGAAATCAACAGTCCTGGCATGTTATCCCGAAGCCAATGACCCAGAGCTTTGAAGCTGTGAAATTGACTGAATATGAGGAAAATGTTGGTTATTCCACAATGACATGAAAAAAGATCTCTGTCCAAAATTTCCACTGGACATACTAAGGTGTTGAAACAGCCTAAAGTATTTCTCAATGTGCCATAAAAGTCAACATCTTCCCCTTAAAATGTGTCATTGAGTCAGTGACTTATTTAACATTTTGCGCAGCATTTCAATGAAATACATGTTTCAACACCTCCTCACTTTTCCCGGCTATTAGAACATAAAAAGCTTTATTTTGTCACAGGACATTAAGTGGAAGAGAACTGTTTCTAATGATAATTGATTGCCATAATGACTGAGCTGTGTTCTCCATTAAAGGCGGTATTTCTAGGGATTGTGGACTAAGTTGCGAGCCAAATTTAAGGTTGAACTCCGCTCGAACCTCTCAGGCTCAGGCTGACGGATCAGTATCGGTTGTGTGATGTAGAGGAAGATTTTTCATAGCCAAAAAAAATGTGATGAGTACACATGTGAAACCTTCCTCTACGAGGAGTCAGCATGATTCGCCAGCACTTTTATCTTTCTTCTCAGAAACAAAACTGTGTGTGAACATTCTTAAACCTTAATCTTATACATCTCCAGCTTAAATGTACCGTTCTGAAGTCCGACTGAGGCATTTTAAAGCTTGAACTCAGACATAAATACGAATGCCTAAGCACAATCTCTTGGCAATCACATTTTGCTAATGATGTTTGCAGTCTACAGATAATGCAAAATCTACTCTATAACACCAGCTCATTGCTTGCTCATGTCAGCTCTGTAAATGTAAATCTTAATGCAATAAAGTAGCCATACATTTAAATGTTTATCTTAGATATTTCAGACTTCTACACGTTGTTAGTAGAGACATGTCCCCTTACATGGTTGCATATAAATAACAGCTTAAGGCCATAGACTTTGCAATACTTCAAAAAAGAAAAGAAGTTTTAAAAATTTACTCCAAACCTGTCCTTTCAACCAACCCTCATCTCGCAAACCCCTCGAATCAAGAAATGATAGATTCCATCAGTGTGATTTATTTTGTGTCTCTATTGACTCTTCAGAATTAAAAATGCTCTGTGGTAAATGTTTTTGACATGTAAACGCCACCAAGACTGATTGTAAAAGACTTAAAATTACCGAATTACTTCACACCACTAACCCAATACTAAACCAATCAATGTGAAAGGAATTAGATGTATGAGTTTTACATGAAATTAAGTCTGTTTATGTTGCAGTACTGATATTTTTACTTGATAAAGATGATACTGAAATGTGTCTCTACTCATCCCTTATTGTCTCACTGTTAGCTAAAATTCGATGGCATTTTACACTGAGTTAGAGCTATACATTCGCATTCAAATAACTGAAAAAGGTTAGAAATAATCATCATTTGTATCTGTAATTGCAAACTTAATAGTATATTTTTCACAGTCAAGTCCAGGTCCTTATCACTCCAGTTTTTCGAACCAATTGGTGTCTCCTGAATGACCACTTAACCACTGAATAAGATGTAAAGGTGGGACTCTTCAGTCATGTAAAGGAACAACAACTTTAAAAACTTATTTTAATCAAATTACTTGGGACATTAGTGTTCACAAGTTTACACACAAGCTTAAAGAGGACCAGTCAGGCACATATACAATAAAGACCATACTTTTCATAATATAAGTGTGATAAAACAAAATGTAAAACAAATATCACTTCATAAACTTGCAGCATTTGAAATCCAGTATTTCTGAAAAAGTAATAAAACAAGCCTTTACATACTCAGAAAGAAAAAATATTTTAAATAGAAAACACATTGCACTCCTTTGTACATTCATAAAGCTGACAGTTTCAAAAATTTGGATGAGCTTTACTTGCCAGCAGTCCAGAACAAACCAACAAAGGAAAACTGTAGAAAATATTTCATTATGAAACCAAATCCTTCCTCTCGATCAGCGAGAAAGCAATAATAATAAAAACACAACATCTGCCAGCCTTTCTTCCATAAAATAATGTGATATTTACATCTTAAATAGATTTTTATTCATTTTCACAGAGTCCAGTCAAAAAGCCCCGAAGACACTTTAAAAGATTTGTTTGGATTTGCCTGAAATACACTGATGTGTGTGTTTGTTTGTTGATACTATTGGTGCTTCCTGATTATCTCTGCAGACAGATGTTAAAGCCTGAGGGTGAGTTTTTTCAGAAACCCTTTTTACCACTCATTAAATTTGACAGGTGAAAAAAAATTAACCTTGGCACTTAATGAAATGCTTGTTATTAATAAATGTAGTGTTAAAGACCAGACCTTATCATTTGGTCCAGAATTTGTTAATCGTTCACATTTATGAATATTTACTCCCTGTGAACTAAAAGTTTTCCTAATGTTTGTGTTTTACTCAATGATGATGCTTTAGTGCCATTTTTCAGTTTAGGTCCTGTATATTCCAGTTTGTATCTCCCAGTTCTCTATTCATTTAAAGGCTTATGAACTTTAAAACACGACTCGTCCTGAAGCATATTAATGAACATCTTCTCGTACATCTTGTGTGCAGATGTGGTTCCTATGATACGGCTGATCTTCTTCAGGCCTCTCACCAGGTAGCGTGGTGCCCCCTGCCTGCGCATCTCCTTTAAGCTGTGAGACAGACCCTTGACTAGATCCAGATCATAGTTCACTGTTTTCCAGAGGTGAAGAAGCTGCAGGATGTACTGTCTGGGGGGGCAGGTAGAGACAACAGTTCGGACATCCTCCGGGCGTATTTTGACCCCTGGCAGGGTGTTGGTAACCATCATAAGGTCATCTAGTGTCAGGTTTTTTAGGCCATTGCAGCGAGAGACCTTCCTCTCACAGTGATTGACACCTAGTAAAAAACAGGATGCAAACTTAAAACCACAAACTGGACTGAAAGAATAAAATGCTAAACTCAAAAAGCACTGTTTGTGTACCTTGTATGATACCGTACAGCTTGTCTTGGTCCTTGTTCTGCTCCCTCCACAGCCGCAGCAGCTGGAGGACCTGCTGCTGAGGAGAGCAAGCCTTTTTCAGTCTCTCCAGACTCTTGTGATCCACCCTCCGCCCTGGGAGACTCTCCAACAGCCGCTCCAGGGGCACAGAGGACAGTCCCAGTGATGAGAGGGACTGGAAGACGGCCTCTTCACACAGGGTCACATCTGAATCGTTTGAGAAAGACAGAGATGACAGCTTTACGAACATAGTCACAGACTTCAAGTACATCGGAAAAATTACAACTTCAGCTGGGGCTCTATCGGGATGTGAATCGATAGCAGATGCTACAACCCCAGCTGTACAATAATGTTTTAGTAGCAAATAATTTTATATTACACCACTACTCAGTCAATTGGCATTGTCGCTATTGTCGGTTTAACATTTACAGTCATCCTGTCTGAGCCACTTACAGTCATGCACTAATATGACAGGGAAACAGATTTTTACAGCATGATTTGAGAGGACTATAAAAGAGCATTTGAACAGTGACAACTGGTTAAGACCACAAAAAATGCATCATTTTCTGTCTGTCTGACTGTCTGTCTGAATAATGTCCCAAAACGCAGAAAAAAGATTATTTGATTTAGAAAGAGTCCGAAATTCATAAATATGGAGCAAATTTCTCAAATTTGGATTCACCTTTCAAGAATCTTGGCTCCCCACAATGCTTTGTAATGCTATTGGGTGGTATTTCACTGTATTTATACTATATATATTAGATATACCATATTTTACACATACATGGTGTCGGCGTCATTATTATTATATTCATAAAATTAATAGTTTCTTGTAATATTTGTAATATTTACAAAAACTATTTCAGGAAATGTGTGTTTAAATAGGAATAAAAACACAGGAGGAAAAAAAATGTTAACGGTATCTGCAGGCTAGTAAGAGAGGTGTTGATTGGTCTGAGCATGACCCATGACCCACTGGTTTTGTTTGATTTGACGTCATTACGTTGTGTTGTTGACAGTTCTTGGCGCACTTTTTAAAGAGAGACTAGTAAAATGTTGCAAACTGCGAAGAGATAGATATTACAAAATGGCTGAAAGGTGCTCCGCCGAGGTCTCATTCAGCTACACCAACCGAAGGCAGGAGAAAAGGCGTTCGGTGAAGCAGCTGCGGAGTAAACTTTTGTTCCAAGAGCTAACGGCAAGCAACAATAGCCACCACCCGCCAGATGACTTCAGAAGAGAGCGCCCTAAAAAGTGAGAACTTTCTGGATGAGGGCTAACAGCTATGAGGCATATAATGGAACTAACATGGTCATTTGTCGTTGTTTGAGGTCGCCAGAGAGTTTTTTCAGCTGGCAGAAAACAGCTAGAAATGAAGAAAGGTGGACAATCCGGTGCATCCTGTCAAAATATCACGCACATTTGGCTGCGATGCTGAGCGTACTGGCCGCACTCAGACATGGCCTAACTTCCGGAGCCTCCACTGCCATGTGCAAAAATTCACTGTCTACACTGAGGAACATCTCAGCCGTGCGATGCTCCACAGGAGAAAGGCCCAGCTGGTTCAGCTTGCCTTTGAAAGAGACCTGACCCGCAAAAGTACGAGGGACACTGTTCTCAGGAGGTTTAGCAGCAGCACTCGCCGCCTCCAGCTCCAGTTTTAAAGGTACAGTTATCTTTAGATTATTGTTATCGTTTGGCGTTCATGGTTATTTAATTGTTGAATGTGCTCACCGGAGGGCGAAGAGGGTAAAGAGAGGAAGGGAAGTGGCTTTCAGCTGCGGTGCAGTGGCTTGTGGGCATAGATTTAAATTTTAGAGTTTAGAGCAAGGGAGTAAGTTTGATTTTGACATTGATGGGGACACAAAATTGTCCTCCTGACATCGTTCAAATCCTGTACCACACGCGCACGCACTCAACCCGACACAAACACAAACGTAAATGTTAATGACACCACTGAAATTAAAATCCGTTGAAGCTGACATGACTTAGGCATAATATGCCAAACATGTTGACAACTCACACTTGGCGGTTGCAGACAACATGCACGGTCTGCCTCCTGTCCGGGCCAACTAGCAGGTAACTTTTACAGGCAGATGTAGTGACAGCGGGGACAGCCAATTACATGTACGTAAGCGAGAAACCGGCAGCCAATCGAAGAGCAATATTTAAGTTAGAGGCGGGACTGCTATCAGAGACCGACTGTTAACCCTTTGTGTGCCATCATCATTGCTTGAACACTATGGACAGCAGTTGTATTGATAGGGACTACACTTTAGCAGCTGATTATTGGTTAGGGATTAGGGGACGCGTCCCTACCCAATTCTACGCCCTTGATTAAGAGTGAAACTTGCTTTGTTTTTAAATGGCAAAAATATGCATATATAGAATATAAAGAACAAGAATTCTTGCGCCCCTGCAGTTGTCTCAACCCCCCATCCCACCCCACCCCTGTTGAATTTTGTCAAACGCTGACTCTGCACATGTTGTGTCTTAAGTGTAGGTGTAGGGCCACACTAAATTAGACATTGAAACTAGTTAAGTTGTAACTAAGGGAATTTGTTTGTTTGCACCATGAAGATTACTAGTAGACCTTCATGACCAAACTCAGCAAAAGATTGTATATACAGGTATAACATTTAAATTCCAGTAGCCAAGCAGAGGAAATCTTTTAAGTATGTCTTTTAAGTAAGTATCTTTAAGTATGAACTCCTATGTGCGATGGCCAACAAACGGGCGAACAGCTCAAAAAATCTGCTGTTTACTCCTGTAACTCAACTAACAGCAGTTGTAAGCTATGTGAAATATGACAAGGCTTTATGATATGGCAAAAATGAATGCTTTGTTTAAATGTACAAAGAGGCATTAGTGCTCAAACGTGCTTCATTTTTGAAATACAACTCACAGCCTTCACTTTATTATTCTTGCACCTTAGATTTTCACAGGCCAAGTCCTCCTAGATTATTATGAAGCAATATTGAAGATCAAGTTTTCTCTAATATTATTGGAAAACTTAAAGGCTACTATTACTAGTATTGTCAGTCCTTACCTGACAATAATTATGGTGCAAAGCCAGAGCAGTGGATTCTGATTCACTTGCAGGACACATGGGACAAGAGCCAATAAAGCCCCATTCAATTTGAATTAATCTAAGTGTACTACGGTTGAGTTGACTGTTTCTGGAGGTATTAGGCTGTTTCTGTGATGTCTGGATCTTTCACTGTGGCTTTCCCTATAATCCACATTGACATGCTGGTGGTTTCTCAAAATCACATCGCAACTTCGGGAATCCCAACTGCTTTCAATTTCACATTATTTGTTAAAATCCCTGCTGAACTGTTCCAGGATCTGCTTGAGAGTTTCTGCGGTTGTGTACTTTGTAGACAGACAATTTGTGAATGAATATTTGAGGAGAGCATCACCCTCCCCTGAGGACAACAGCTTTCTGTGTTTACTTTTAAGTGTGTATGAGTGTGCCAGTGTCCCCACATCTGCATGTGTGTGTTCTCCAGTATATGTGGTTTCTCAAACTTTGGGAATTCATTCATATTTGAGGCCTGTCCTCTCAAATAAATTGTCAACATCTGCCATAGTTATAGTCTGAATACCAAAGACTAACCAGCTCGTCTTGTGCTTGACTCAGTTTCCTTTGTTATTGAAGTTTGAGGATATGACAGTTTAGGGAGTAATTGATCCATCATGGGTCGTTATGAGAGTAGTTGCTGTAAACATCCCATTCAACCCTTTGCTCTGGCTTTACTCTCGAGTGTTAGTGTTCATACACGCAAGAATTTTGGAAAAGAAAGGAATCTGGACAAGGAACATGACCAAGGAAATCCCCTGCCTCCAGGAATGAGAATGACCACATTGCTGAAATAACTCAGAACTGACAGATCTTAACTTGTTGACAATTGAGGTTTGCTCAAGAAAAGCATTACATGTGTGTATGTGGATGCTGTGTGTGAGCAGGGAAAGCAATCTGCACTCATTTTCCATCATGCATTAGTCTCCAAATCTCCTATACAGTTAGTGATAAGGTTTTTGGTGCTGTAACTGAAGTGTGAAAATACCTCACCTGTGTGGCACACAGTGGGATGATGAGAGCAGCCCAACCCACAGAGGCTGTCTGAAGTGGACGTGCCCCATCTTAGTGTCTTCAAGCCTAAATCAGAGCAGTTTCTGTGGGGCTGACACGGCTCTGTGGAGGAGCTGCTGCTGGAGAAATGACCAGCCGGACAATGTTTACACACAGTGTCACTCACCGGTGTACCTGAGTGAGGAAAATACAAAATAATCAGAGGTTTCTTTTTTACAATAAAGACTTTTTTTGTATATATATATTCAGTTTAATACTTTTCATTGTGCAAACATGAGCTGCCGTAACCATTACAGCAGTTCAAATATCAAGATGATGTGATTCTAAGAACTGCAACTACTATAAAATGTGATAGCTGATTCACAGGATGACTCATTCTTAGTTTCTATAACATAATTTTGAATAGGAAATCCCCCATTGGTCGGTCAACGCTGAGGATGATCATGAGTACTACTGCTAAGATGACATGTGACTTTAACCTCATAAAGTCAGCAAAAGAGATGAGTCATTTCAGTATTGAAACTGACTCATATGAAAATCCACTCTTTATTCAGGATTTTTTTTTTTGCTGCTGCTTTTGCTGCTTCTTTGCTGAATTGTTCAATAAAATGCACCAATAAACCACAAGTGAAATACCTTAAATTACTTTACAAAAGGAAACTTGCATGTAACATGTAAATGAACAACTACTAATGAAAATGTGTGACAATTTAAAATGATAATATAGTGATAAAAATAACTGCGTATCATTATAAAATGTTCTTAATGATGTCATGAAACTGGTTGTTTCAAAATCTATCAGCATGAAACCCCCTTTTTGGGACATTTTGTAATTATTCAACTAGATTTACATTATTGGTAGTTACTATGACAACATTACAGTAAATCTCTGTAGCTTCTAGGATGTGATGAAAGCGTAGAGGAGACCACACATTGGAACTAGTGTTCATCACATCCTCATTTCTATTTTTATATGTCGAGCTCGTAATAGGAAGTGAGGGCATGTGGGCGGATTATCAGAATTGACCTTTAACTTGTTTCCCGCTTTCAGGGCACAGAACATTCTTTCATTTACCTTGAACGTGAAAACATGAAACCGCTGTTTTGCATACCACAGCGCTAATGGCAAAGCACGTACACTGAGTGAATGTGTCAGTTCTCACAGGTTTATCTGTTTTTCTTTCTCTGAATTTCTTGTCTTTGTACAAAATCTACAAGTTAGCAAAATTGCCTCAAATGTCAGAAAACTGGCCTTAGAACATAAATGAGAATAGCCTTCATAATATGAAAAGCTTTTAATTGATTTATTTTATTATTACTATTTTTTTTCAAACTATACAGTCTTCAGTTTCAGACTTTTCACTGTGAAGATCTCATGCTGTTATTTTATAATGAAGTAAAAATAGTCATAGCTTCAAGCTTTCTGAAAACTGTCAATTACGAAGCTTTAGTGATAAGCTTCCCCTTGCTTTGGTTACACAGCACTTTGTCAAGCAAAGGTACTTAAAAAAAATGGTTTTCCTTTCCATGAACTGATACTTAAAAAAATTCTGAACACCAGTTTTCATCATGTTTTTTTTTTTTTTGATGAGACAAACAATTGTCTGATCAAGATTACTTTTGCTTAAAAACTTAATAACTGGGATGATTTTTTGATTCAGCCCCTCTATAAAAAAGAAAAAGTACATGCATTGCTTCACCCGTGAAGTTTGTGGTTGTTTCTTCCATGCTTTGTTTTATTGGGTCTTTCCAAGTTGATACCATTAAAACAAGTCTCCAAAAAGCCAGTAAAACCAGCTGGACATCATTCAAACAATTCATCCATAGACAGAGAGAGAATCACAACTAGAAGCAGACAAATAAGCAGATGAAGAGAACAGAAGGATTGTTTGGGAGTCTGAACCAACGGTTTTCTAACATCCTGTGGTCTTAGGTCTTAACCGCAGCTCAAAACATTACATAATGAGTCCTTCAGTCTTGGAGAGGGGAATCCCCTGAAACGCTGCCTCATGTCTGCAGATCTCCATTAGGCTTTCAAGTCCAAATGTACATGCACGTTAGAGGAATTTACGGAAAATGTTGTCTCATCTCTGAGAGAGGTCAGCGCTACAGGGGGTCGGATAATAACCGCACTCCATGGAAAATGTTGTTACATCCAAGCAAGTGGCTGGATTCGGGTCTGAGATGAAGTCATGAGAAGTGTGGTGCCAGTTTGTTTTGTGGTTACAGTAGAAATATCAAATTTTGTTGACAAGAATGTGGAAATTCGGCATCTCTGCAAGCTGTCCACAATAACTAATGACACACTTAGTCCAGAATCTGTGATGAATTCAGGGTCAGGCAGCCAATATGTTAATGTTATCTGGGTGTCATCTGGGATGAAAATGTCTATATTTGAGCTCTATTGTGAGGAGAGGTGCTTGGCTCTGAAGGGATACCTTTATCGCAACTATCCCTCATATAATTATAGTTGTACTTACATCAAGTTTTCCAAGTGCACTGAAGCCAAGAGTCTCCCCATGGTGGACTACTATTGGCACTCTGTCAGTGGAGTGGAGTACAGTGCAGACCTGCTCTTTGTATTAAATTTGCTTATATTTGTTGTGATTTTGGCCAACAAAAATACATATCCAATGAGTGATTAGAACTGAGTTTCTTTCAATTAAATTTTTTTGCTCATGAGCCTGGATAGCTCATGTGTGGATACATATCTGCTTAGGGATTACATGGCATACCGGATGATCTGCAAGAGTGGCAGAGTTTAAAACAAAAAAATATACGAGTTGACTATGGAGGGCGGACAGTCTAAACCCCTGCTGTGGTGAGTGTTTATGCAGTATTTTTAAGTTGCATTTGTTTTGACTTGCATAGTTCGATCTTTTCATTTCTCAGCTTCCTGCAGGACATTTCTGTTCCATGTAATCTGGATTATTTTTTGGTGTTTCCAAATTAGAAAGCCTTGTTTCTTTCAAATGCAATACTTCAGGCTGTTGCAACATGTTTGCTCCTGATGGGCACTAAAAAGAAAGAGGTACTTTATTTTCATACAGTGACCTAGTTGCATTTACAAAGAAATCTTTATGACAGGTGATACGTCTGTGCTCCAGCAAATGTCAAGAGGAAGCCCAGAGGAATGCAGAGGAAAGGTCATGCCATTTTAGTTAAACTAAACAAACTGTCAACCCTAATGGTTTCCTCTGTAATTACAGTTTAACAGTAAAAAATGTATAGTCATGTACAAAGAGGAAGCTAATTTACACATGCAAAATATATCATGGAACTACTAACTTGATATGAGATCTGAACTGTGGAGACACTCGTTCTTTTGACACATTTATTTCATTTATATAATCTTAAAACACAAATTCTGAATAAGAACACAGAATCTGAAGATGAGGAATAAGGTTTTTGTTCTTATAAGTGTTCTGGTTTTTCCTTTTATTGTTTGAGTACTATCATCCAACATTAATTTCTGCAGGTCCTGGCTGTGTGCAGAAAATTGGTCTGGTCCCAAAGGATGCAATATGGGTCAGCCTTTAATACAGGGACAGAGGAATGAGGGTACCAGTGAAGTTAATGTTGTGATAATAAAGCTTTTTCTGACGATTACAAACAGACTTTTGGGAACAAGTGCAGCTCATAGTCCAGAAAAAGATGTTCTCCACTTAAACTCAAGTCTTACATTACATGTTTTCAGTTTGTCTGAAACAATTGAGCTGGGCACCAAAAAAGTTTAAGCGTTGAAATTTGTTTTCACTTATCTAAATAACCCATGACTGCAGCTGACAGACAAAACTGTTTCTTGCTCCCAGTTTTATGCTAATGGATTTAGAGATTCATGTTAGGGTTCAGGTTGGATTTCCAAACATGGTTTGCCATTTTAAGGTTTAATTTTTTGTACAGACACTGAATTGCAAAAGACCAAATCAAATTTGAATGCTTAATAGAAGGTACTCTTTAATATAGCTATTGGGTCAAGAGGACTATAGGAGAGTATGGTTTGCTCTTTGACTTTTAGATGGTTGAAGATTATTTATAGCTACCCGCGAAACACAAAAACTGGTAAAACAACTCCCTCTAAAGTCAACACAACATGAATCCTTCAAAATCACATGGACACTGACATAAACACATGAGGAAGTGTGACTTGGAGTCACAGACAACACATTGACGCTTCCTCAAATGACGTCATCGTAGTTGGAAAAAAAGCTGAACTTGTTCCAGCCACATGATGTCAAAGTATGTTTGAGGAGATATGACTGCATGACACATCATTTCTACTCATAACATGGTGATCACATGATAGCAAACTGACCTCAGTGAGGCTTTTTTGACTCAGTTTTGACCCAACTGACCTCCAGAGAAGGGTTGTGGTTTGACATGACTTACAGTTTCAAAAAATGAAAGGATTCATCCAGAAATATTCAACCTTCTGTTTGACACCCGCAAAAAAAAATATGTGAGCCATTTATCTACACTCACTTGAAATCAGGAATCGATGAGTATTTCCCCCATTTGCCTTTCAGTTAACCAAGACAAGCAGTTTCTCTCTGCTCTCCCGATCAAACCAACAAATTTTTATCTTAATATTACTCTAGTTTATAATGAATATTAAAAAAGAAATACGCCTATAGAGTTGTTTTTTCTGAGTTATGAAGCAGAAGTGGTTTCCTACTGTAATGACAAGTTAAAGACAAATTTATCTCTTCTTTGGACTATAGCTGTGTCAGGCCTGGGTATGTATATGACTCTCTTCTGGAACTAAAATAATGGATTGCCTCATGTTACACCCCCCAAGTTGAGGGCAACACTGCCACCATTCAGGGCAGGCCAGTGTAAGAGAGACGTAAGGGAAGGTGTGTTTCATGCTGTCATTTGGAAAAACAAATCTGCATTTATAACAGAACTCCTCTCTTGAGCAAGTTTGTGCATATTTCTCCACTCCCAAGACAGTCTGTGTTTGTTTTGGTCTGTTACTGAAAGAAAAACTGGGAGAGAAGAGGAGAGGTATTCTGAGAAAGAATAGGACACTGCGAAGAAAATTTGATTCTGTGAAAAGAGGCGTTTGCATCTGGATTGGATATGATTCAGAGAGGGGTAAGAGAGAGGATCTTCCGTGGTATAAGGGAGAGGACATCTTACTGTAAATTGCTCATGTGGCATAGATGTATGACTCTGCTTTCACAGCACCACAGTTGCCTCTTTACAAACTATAAAAATCAGATCTCATAACCCAGAGAATATAGGACTCCAGGAAAGATGAATAGGTTATTTAGAGTGGTTTATATGAAAACTGCAATAAACACTGAGCCTTCCTTGTGTCATTAATCTCAAATTAATGACAAAACAGACAAGAAAGCCTCTTGATACCTATGGTTTTCCTTATACTCCCAAATAAGCAGAAAAGTCATCACACTAAATGTCCCGGCTCCTCCGTATCCACGCCCCTGCCAGGACATTAAGGTCTTCCAATCGGCCCCTAAACAAGGCTAAAAACCAAAGGTGACCAAGCCTTTGTGGTGGCATCCCACAGGCTCTGGAACAATCAGCTCTGCAGAATCGATTGAGGTTTTTCAAATCTTCCCTAAAGACTCACTTCTCTCTGGCTTTTAATCAAATCTAACTGGACTTCTGGCAAAATTTTTAAATTAATTTTAATTATTTTTCTTTCTATTTTATATAATTGCATTTTTTTAGCATGTGTTTTGGTGTTCTAATTTCTTGTAACTGCTGACGGGTCACTTTTATCATCCCTGCTGCTCTTAAACTGTACAGCACTTTGGTCAACCCTGGTTGTTTTTAATATGCTCTATAAATACATTTTGAGTTGAGTTAATGACTTTAAATATGGGCAGAATAGCACAAAGATGAACTTTTCACATGTATCCACAGACAGCCTTCCTCAGTGTTGCCGATCAGCAGAGTGAAGTTCAAAGAATCTTAATTTTTTTAATGAATTTTCCTGAAGTTTTTGTTTTTTTTAATTTGGATACTGATGCCCTGGTTACAGTTGACTTTGTCATGTTACTGATCTCCCTTGCTTTGTGAATGAAACCCATTATGTATTAGGGTTATTATAAGGAACTGCTTTGCATTCATTTGCACTACAAAGTCAACAGTCAAAAACAGTCAAACCTGTGACGTCGTGTGGCTTTCAAGATGACTATCTTTTATTTTTCTGAACCTTCATCACATTATTGAAAACCTTGAACAAACTAACTCAAATGAAATGAAGTGGCTGTTTAAATGAAAGTAAAGGCTCTGCACTGGAGAATAACAAACAATTTGCTTTCTGTAAAACAAGTGGCAGTCATGATAAAGTGTCCATTCAATACAAATGTAAATAGAAAAAATAAAGTATTGAAAAGGATTGAAAAGGTATGCAGCTGCCCTAGTATAGTGCCAGTACAAAAGCAGCACTAAAAAATAAATAAGTGGCTGACAGTGTGTTCATCTCTGTGCTCACCCAAAGTCATGCAACACTCTCAGAAAACACGGACAGTGTGAGCCAAAGCACTTAATATGCAGAGGTTGTTCACACTGCTGGATGCTTCTCCTCCGAAGCTGCTCTCTGCCTCTGTTATTGTTTACTTTCCTCACGAAGCACGGAGCAAGATGAATCCGATCCCTTTATCACGCTTTATTAGCCTATCAGAGGCAGACGGGTATGATGATTTGATTCATCACGACTCCAGAAAAGATTAAAAAACTACAGAATGTTACAAAATGATGTATCCGCGCTCCCGGCTTGAAGAGTAGACATGTGCAGCGGCGCCGCCAGCTTGGAAGGTTGAAATGCGTACACAGCCGTGCTCTCGGCTTGGAAGGTTGAAATGCCTACATGCTGTGCTGGTTTAAATGGGTTAAGGTGCAGGTGGGTGTGGCTAGAAGGGGTCGTCCTGGATTGAGATCACCTGGGCCCGATGTGTCTCATTCTATAAAAGCAGGCTGAGGGCATTCGTCTTTGGTGGAGTTAGTTTGGCAGGCTGCTCCCTCACCACGCTCCTTTTTGCCGTTTTCTTTCACACATAATACTATTTTTGAAATCAAATTTTGAACGTATACATTTGCCCCGTGTCTCCTCTCAGTTTTTTTCTCTGGCCTTGATCCAGCCGTGACACTTGAGTGAAACAGATTAACAGTTTTTGTAACTCTGTATGTGGTTGTGCACCTGAAAGGAGGTTATTCTTAAGGTATACTCCTTTTTTTTTTGCTTTTTTATCATACCAACCAGTCTGCCAGTACACAACAATCAAATCAAGGATAAACTCTAGTTGAACTCAAGTCTTACCTAAAGCTGTCACTCCATGGCCAGGTGGACAGGTGCTGTGTGTGATGCAGAACTCTACCACAAGATGGAAGCCTGGAGCACACTCACACAATTGGTCGTGGGTGCTGTTACAGTTTTGCTTCACTAGTTGTCTCTCCTTGCACACCTAAACACAACAGACAACAGTGTCAGGCACTCTGACCTTGTGCTGCTTCATGTGCACAATGACATACAGGAAAGACTGTTTTATAGCTAACATATGAGCATGATGTACATACATTCAGAACAAAACCAGTCATGTTAAGCAGTATTTTGCTCTTTTACATGTTGTTCTTTAAACCGAAGTATCTTGACATATTATCCAAATAGAATAATTGAATACAAGAATAATTCAAAGTGAGGGCCAGAAGTTATCCTGTACTTCATTATTAGCTGAGGGTGGCAGAGAAAAGCATCCAGACTCCAGGGGAACATTTCTGTACAGCAGTGAGCACATACAAACTCATTTTTGGTAACAATAACTTAAGTGGAAACAGTTGTTTTAAGAAATAACAAAAGACTCTTCAGATAGTAAAACAATGGTGTCATGCAACTAAGAAAAAGAAACCAAGAAAAAAAAGTGGCATTTAGCTTAAAAAAAAGTAAACAGTTGAATTCTTTTCCATATATTTGAGTCAAAATTGATGGATTCACTTGTATTCTTCTGTGCAAGAACATCTTAAAAGAGGTCCAGAATACTCCTTGACATAAGACAAATAAATGCAGTTAAAGAATTCAGAGGACCATGTCCAGGCCTCTTACTTACTGAGGTGCAGTATTGGCATGTGTCCCCCCAGTGCCAGTTTTCTGCAAAATGCCTCTCAGGACAGGCCTCACATTCTGTGGGCTTGTCAGCCGTGCAGTGTTGTTTCACAGCTGTGCCAGGAGGGCACTGGTCACACAGCAGGAGGTCAGAGGTCACAGGGTCCCGGTACTGGTACTTTGGCGGTACAACCTGCTGCTGGAAAGCCCAGGAAAAAGAGGCTGTGAAGAGCTGTGAGGAAAAAGAGAGAAAAGAGCTTTAGAACTGAGTCCACAGCTGTGACAAAAATCTGTAATGAAACCCATCTCGTGCACAGCCTCCTTTTTGGCTACAGGTTCAAATATTTTCATATTTCGGAGCACTCGCCAACCCAAAGCTTCCAGTAAGAAAGAGTTGACATAAAGGTCAGAGCTGTAAAGTTGAAGCTCCTAGTGGACACACAGTCCTAAAGAGATTTCCTCTGCTTTATAGAGTGCCGTTCAGGGAAACAGAGAAGTTTGAGCAGACATGTGGATATGGACTCATGCAGGGGAAACTTTGATACAATAGTTCATCTTAATGTTTGCATTTTTGCAGATTATATTTTCCCCTTCCCACCTGAAATGATTCTAAATTCAGTGAGACTGATTTTATCCCTACTATTACTCTTGATTAAGGGATCAAATGTATTTTATTGCACTTGCGGAATTGAACTATTTTCCAAACTTTTAATGATTTCAGATGTTTTTGTGCAGCCAGGTTTTCTGCATTTAATTAAACTGGAGTCTATGACACAGGGTTACAGACAGTAATTGTGCAGACATGTGATGTCTGACCTCACCAGCAGTCTTTCACTCCAGTCAGCCTGCTCGCTCTGTAACAGCAGCTGACGTGATTCCACGCTAATCTACAGCAGTTCAAAGCCACCCTGGAGCAAGAGCTCACCACACCCACAAATCTTCCCCCTTGCATGAAAGCAACCCGTCCATACAGACGGAATTAAGTGTTGGATTTGGAGCAACCTGCTGAGATGGACTTGCTGTGTTTAGCTATAGCCTCATGTGTCATCACCAGAGCAGGAACTGGAGAAGTTTTGGCCTAACCTAAGATGTGAGATATCAGTTGGTGAACATGTTTGACATGCAGCCATGCAGCTGGTCGAGGCCACATGCAGACCAGATGTCACACATCTGGCTCCTTCCACCCTGAAGTCCCTCCACCATTGGTTCTGCGGACTTTCCCGTTGGCCGGGATACATCCTCACTGCTTGGACAAACTAACAATAGGCTGTCCTTGCATTGTGTGTGTGTATGTGTGTGTGTGCTTGCATGTGGTTTTCTGCTTTGGACCATGTTTGTGTGCGCATCTTCAAAAATGAATGAATTCATACAATAAAAACGACACAACATCCATGCATGTACGTGCAGGAATGTGTGCGCCGATGCGTGTTTTTGTGTGTGTGTGTGTGTGTGCATGTTTATCGGTGTTCATGTCCTCCTCGGTGTGGCTTTGCGGTCTCTTCTCCTGGCTGCTGCTCACACAGAGAACTGTTGGAGGTTACTGGGCTTTCCCCATTCACCACCAGAGTATAAAACACTCACCCACTCCGTCCTACAGTTCAGCCGCTGCACAACACTCATCTTCTTCCTGCGATTGTATTTTTTTACACTCACGTCATTCACTTTTAGACTTGCTCTCAAAAACACGATATATTGAACCAAACGAATGCATGAGTGGAAAAAGCATGTTATATCACTCCGTCTGTGCTTGTTCGTCATCATTCGCAAAATGCACGGATATTCAGAACAAAGTGCTCTCAGTATGCAGCCACTCCTTTGATCTGCTATACTTTTACATCTGTATTTGGGTTCCTCCTAATCTGTTGAACCCTTCTCATAATTCAGCAGCAAAGATTTGAACAGTTGTCATCTTTAAGTAATGCACTGCGCTGAAAAGGTTTCTGGTCTCTATTTCAGTGAAGGCCATTGAGAAAGACAGTAAAAATAGATTAATGGGTTGTACACACCATAATAGAAACTCTGCTTCAAACGGAGCGGCGAGCTCAGTGGTTTTCCCGGCACATCCTATCGACCTCTGAGCCGAGCGTTTGGTGGAAGGCTTTCATCCACAGCGACTTGCCGAGCAGAGCCATGGCTGCATGTGTTTGTTTGTAGCATGGGTGGCCCCAGCGGGGAATCAAACCCATAATCATAGTCCTGCTCTTCAAATTAAGAAGTGTATACACACTATTAAGCTGCGTGACCACATCGAATCAATTTAGAAACATCAGGAGGGTGGAGTGTACAGAGCGACTGACAGTCAGACGGTCACCTGGGTTTTTGCGAATGCGAGTACGGTTACACTTGTTGCTTCCACTTTAATCTTTGGTTTAAGGCAGGATGAGTTTACTGGCAGGACTGATTTATCTTCAGTCATGAGTGCACATGAGCCAGAGCACATGTAGAAGTGGTTGGGTTGTATTATTTTTCACTGCCTTCATGTATGGCACGGTAGCATGGCTGAACTCCAGCTGAGTTAAACAGAGTTATGTCAAAGGGATAGTACTGGCCGTCGATTTCCCTTTCAAAATAAAGCTTTCTGACAAACATTTCACATTTGATGATACTTTCACAACCGACAACTAAATTTGTGGTTGCTGCTGTTTAACGGTTGCAGTTTGTTAGATTTTGGCACCGATACTGTATAGCTGCTTTACACTTATGTGGACCGTGGTGTTGCATATTTATCACGCTCAATCGGACTTAGACATCAACTCTGCAGACAGTCAACATTAACCATTGGTTAGTCAATGGCGTCCAGAGTTAACTGCAGCTTTGGGCCACTGTCCAAAGCTGCAGTTAATTTAAACACAAAAAAGGTAATTAATGGCAGTGCAATTTAGCTTACTCCTAAAGCTGTAGTAGTCTAAAAAGTCAACGCCTAGACTTGAGATGGACCTTTACAATACACTTCCCTTGATTATGTGAAACATTTTTGGCTCATTTCAGGCCGAGCCACACTTTTCCAAGCCAATCAAAACAGTAGCCTTCTGCTACTGAGGAGAAGAAACTTCCTACCTCTTAAAAATTAATTTATTGGAAGATGTCCTGTGGTGAGAGTGTAAGTTTGTCCATCAGCGGCTAAAAGAGATATTGAACTTTTCACCCTCCTTGTACCCTTAGAAGCTGCCATCTGACGACATCATGGATGAACCACTGGAAACCCAAATTACACAGCAGCCATGGACCACTGACAGCTTAATTACACTGTTAGCATCATCAGAGCTCAGTAAGAGACATATCCTGCATGGAGCAGAGCCAGGACTGAGGACAGGATGGTATAACTGATAATGTTCTATCTTCCTTCAGCCAAATACCCCAGAGCATCCATCAGATGAAAAGAGAACCTAAAAAAACTTGATGATCAAATCAGCTTAATCTGATACAGTCTGCTTCATCTGTGCCAATAAATCCCATTTACAATCAGATTTGTTTATAGAGTGTAAACCCATTAAAAAGTTCTGAACAGAGCATAGGCTTTTAACAGATATTATCCACTTGGGAAAGGAAACCGTACAAAGCCCAAATGTAGTCTTCAAAACACATCCAAGACCCAAAGGATAATCCAATCACAGGTTGTCATCATCTAGATATTGATATACTTTCCCTCGCAAATTAAATCGAATCTTAATAAACCAAGATTTATGAGGATTTCCCTGTTTAATCTGTGACCTGTCTAGTGTACAAATTACATCCACAGCCAGGTGTTTTCATGACAGACTGCTTCAAGTGAAACAGGATGAAGTCCACTTGAAGAGCTGCATGACAGATGAGCTGAGGCGCCGTGATTATGAAGTAAAGACACAGACAGAATTAGTTCCAAAAATCATCACACATGCTGTCCAGATAGAATTGAAGACAAGAAAAAAGAGATTGCAAAGGGAGGTTAGATTTTGATTTGTAGTGATATGACCCCATCCATACTTCTTACAATGAGTTACTGAGGGGAAAAGGTGCAACTGCAAGCAAACAAATGACTGAACTAAATGATGTTTATCCAAATTCCATTTTGAAACAGTAAACCTTCTCCTCTTTGTGTTTTTGGTGGAAATGTCCACATGCTTCCAGGATAAATCCATTGCTGAGGTATTGTCCAACAGAGAGTGTCCAGGCTGTGAGTCAAAGTTATCATGGAGCACACTGGGATGCAAAGAAAGAGGAGAATCAGAGTTTCTAGAGCCTGAGGTCAGTTTAAAATTTATGGCATAAGGAGAGGAACCATGGCACAACAGGACCAAACCACACATCACTAGCTTAGCCAGCAGGCACATGGCTTCAGTTAACTGTAGAACGCAGGTGGTCTGAGGGGGGATTCCAGCTCTGCATGTGAGTGTGTGTGTGTGTGTGTGTGTGTGTGAGTGAGTGTGTGTGTGTGTGTGAGAGAGTGTTTGTGTGTTTCAGTATGTGTATATGGAATCCGTCTTTTATCACTCTGACAGGGAGAGAGCGACTATGGGACAGACTGTCAGGCTGCATCTAAGGGGAACTATAATCACTGGATTTTTCATATTGTTGTGAAAAAAACACAACTGACGGCTGCAATAAAACGCACACTCTGTCCACTTCTATCACTAAGAGCCACAGAGACGTATGACTTAAACCTTTTGTTCTAATACAGAAAAAATAGTTATTAATGTGTGGGCACATTAAACACATGCAGTTTGAAGACTGTATGGTCACTTAAGTGAACCAAGCCTGTTTCTGCATTATGCACCAGACATTATCTGTGAACAGAGTTTGAAATTCAACCGTACTTTTATAATGTGTAAAACATGTTGATTAAAACAGGCAAAAATAAATACATCTCATGGTTTTTTTTTTTTTTTGCAAATTTCAGTTTGGCTGCATTCAATATTGAGCAGTGAGATCATTTGGATTTCGTTTGACTTTTTTTTTTTTTTTTTTTTGTTCTTGGTTCAGAAATTTGACCACGTTGCCCGTTTAAAGTCAGGTTTTCATTCTTTATGAATGAGCAATGTGAACAGAATGGCAAAAGTACAGCCAGGGGCTGAATGAAGCAAACTAAATTATGCTGAGTTTTCTCTTTAGATTCCTTCTATTTTAACCTTCTACACTATTTCAGAAATGTGTACATGCTGAAATATGTTTAAAGCAAAGACTAAGGAATTTATAGAATACATTTGACAGAATACTGTGTTTCCTTTTGCAAATCCACTACTCAACTTATATTTTCAAATTTTTGATCTTATATGTTAAAAAAAAAAAAAAAAAGTAAAGGAAACCAGGCGCCTGACTACCTCACTACACCTCCTCAAAACATGTTGCTTTAAGCAGTATATTGAGATAGTATTAAAATTTCTCATACTTTGCTTCCGTATTCTTGCTTAAATCTTTTTAATTCTAGAAATTTCACTAGTCAAGGCATCATGTTTCCCATGCTTTATGGTTAATTCTCCTACCACACTTGCAGCTAGATAACCAAGACTCTTATGTTTTATTACAAAATTAACAGAAAAACTAAAGGAGAAATGCCTGACACCTTTTAAATGACAACCTGTGAGCAGCATGGTCTTACCAAACACATGTGGTGCCAGATAAACTTTCACTACCAACATTTGCATCAGATGAGTCATACTGTTTTTAATATGACTCACACAGTTGTAAGATAAAATAGAGAAGCTAATACAACAACCGTGACTCTTTTGCCTACACACTCTCTGCTCTTTGTATCAGATAATCACTGAGTAATCACACACAATTACACTGGATCAATGAGTTCATTACAACTGTGCCACACACCAACACACCCACACGCATGTGTACACCTTTGCTATCTGCACTACTGTTGATGGAAAAGAGGAAGTAAGGTGTGCAGACTTCAGTGATCGTTGCTTTCAGAATCAACATTTATGCTTGTTTGTTTTTTGGGGCTTCGGGTTCATCACACGCCTTCTTTATGTCCCTGCCTTCCCCCTGTCACACACACTTCCTCACTTTTTCTGCACTGTTTGCATATAAAAAAATAGAAATCATATTGAGTCCTTTTAGCTAAGTGACCTCTGTGTGACTTCTACCGTCCACCTGTGCCTGCTGCAGATTTAGGGAAGTTGGAGCAGCTTGTGACAACGGACACAAGGGAGAGTGAGAGAGAGTAGGTGTAAAGATAAAGGGAGCAAAGATAAAAGATAAAAGATAATAATAGAGATGAGATAGAGAAAGGCTTGCTCCAACATGGGAATCAGTGGCTGGATTGTAGGATAGATGGATATGGATAAATGACAAGCACACTGCATAAAAAGCCTTGTTAAACCTCTCCCTCATTTACATTATTCTGTCCACTTAAATGTCACTTTTCCCTCTTAAATCATTGTTTACATTTGGATACACACGTCTTCTCCATAAAATCTGTAAGACTGACAAGATAACCTAATTTTGTCCAATTTCCACTGACATCACCCTGGGCAAGCACCCAAACAAAAAGGGTGTCTTTCCAGCAGACAGACCACAGCCAGATGTGTTAGTTGCATGCTGGGAAAAAGGAAGAGTACACAGGTGCTGGGGTGTATTTATCTTTGACCTTCTAAGCCTAAACAATGTTTTGGACGAAATTGCAGCGTGTCCCTTTAACATAGAATTATGCACAGACAGACTGAGTGGCGGGTTGTTTGGCGTGCTGACAGGGAGATAAACAGGCTGAATGATTTGGGGGATTCAGAGGGGTGAAGATTGACTTTTTGGCTGAATGCTGACAGTCCAAAATGACCAATGAGTCATTATTTGGCGAACTAAGTACTTCCTTTTGGATGCCAAAATGACTGACCGATAAATTAATGGTGGATAGACACAAAAACGCTATGTAAAGTGCAGAAAAAGGATATTTGCCCATTTTAGGAAGATTTCTGCATGCAGTCTGCTCTGCAGAAAAGGAATAACTGTGAAATCACATGAAATGCTGGCATGAACTATATATGCACATGCTTTTATTTATACCGTACTGAAGCTGCACATATTACACAAAACATCACTCACTGACCATGCAAATCTCAAAACACCACCTCTTTTTCCTCACATAACAAAGACATAAGCACGCACAGGCCACAATGACAGGTAGTGTTTTGTACTATGTGTTATCTGTCTCTGCCCTGATATACATCTATGAATGAGCATATGCAAAACCTGCAAGAGGCCCCATTGCAGCTCTACATGCAAAACACACCAAAAGAACTAACTGATCTTCACCCCTCTTTGGCACACACGTAAAACCCTGTAGAACAAATTAGTTCAACGACAAACTTACTGTAAACACCATCTTCTGGCAGCATGCCATGCCTGTAATCTTACTCTGAAGTTTCATTCATTTCAGTAAAAGCAAGCAAAAAGACCCAAAATAAACTCTGGGTCAGTGATGAAAATCTAAGATGTTGTTTCTATGTCCATTTGTGGGTCTCAAACACTCACAGCAGTGTACAAAAAAGAAAACATGAGCTATAATTATCATTAAAGGAAAATAACAAATTAAAAAAAATCATTTATCATTCCACTGCATTCTGGAAAATAAAAAAATTAAGCTTATTCTGCTTTTTAAAAATGTATTTCTCTTATCATATAACCCCTGGAGAAATGCAGAAATTCAATATATATTCTTCAATCTGTCAACATAGAGACACTGGACTCTTTACAAAGACAGTTCAGTATGATTTAATCCACTATACAAACAACACAAACTTAACTTGGCATCCCCAGTGAATGTGTCAACAAAACTGATGACTACCTGCACAAGTTTATGTTGCAGGGCTGTCTATGGGCCTGCTTTTTACGGTCAACTGTTGTTTTGTCTGGTCTACATCATAATTATGTCAGCTTTTACTAACTGGATTTGGGTGTATTTGCCCTACATTCACTATTTGGCATTTTAAAGCAGAAATGAAAACTTTCCCAGAGAGACTGAAATCTGTTTTCCCATATTAAGTGTCATGCAAGTATAGTATACAAATATCAGAGACCAAAGTGGAGGGATTTTCCTTTAGGGAAGTTTAGATGCTGTGCAAATAACATTTAAATGGATCTCATGGTAAAACAGGTACGACAGGAAAGACTCTGATTAACTATAGTAACCCCACATTATGAGGTATGAAGTATATCCTCAAGAGCCGGGGAAAGACAAACTCATCCTGATACCACATAAAGCGAGAACATAAGTCAACTAACAATAATTGTGTCGGGGACACCGTTGGGAAAGCGCACAGACTTTGTGATTGGCACCTGCAACCAGTTTCACAAACCGTGTGCAGTACGCTCCGATTGCACATAATAGTATTAGCAAATATTTAACCACCATTTTTAATCAATCTGGACACAAGCGAGCGCCCATGGCCACATCCTCAATATATGAAATCACGTGTTGTCCAACAGTCTAATAGTTCTTGTCACGCTTATACCCCTGTAAGAGAGTAATCGTTGGAGTTAAAAGAAACGAGTTTTCCCCCTCAATCAGAAACTTCTATGTGTTCCTTTAGACCAGCGGACAGACCAGAAGAGCTGCAAAAACTCTGAGTACTCACCAATATCAATTTCATGGCTGGGTTGGATTTTGGTATCCGAGCGCTCATCTCCTCTGCGTAAAAGTGAACTACGGCGAGGTGGGTTCTCCATCACTGCACTGCTCTTATATCGTACACACAGAGAGGGAGCGAGGAAGAGAGAGAGAGAGAGAGAGAGAGAAAGCGAGAAAGCATGTGCCCACCCACCTCGGTGTTCTGCGTTCGGCCCTCTCTCCGTCTCCTAAAAATAAATGGTTGCTTCCTCACGAGTTGCCTTGCGATTACGCAAAGTGGTGAATTGTGTAGGCGATAACTAAAAAAGGTCTGGAATGGAAAGCAGCATCCAGTGACCATCAGATGATGCAGATTCATTCATAAATTTAGGCAGATGGTTTTGGCTTTCAGCAATACAAGTATTCCCAAAGAAATCTCTTGATAATTGTGGAAAAACTGTGAAGTAATAGATCATACAAATGTCGGCAGGGTAAAGAGAAAAGTGCGCATGTCGGAAGTTTGAGTCCAGCAAGAACTGCAAAAAATGTCTTTGATGGGATCACATTTGCCTGAGTCAGACCTCCAATACAAGTGTGGTAAAATAATACTGTAATGAAGAAATACTTCAAATGAGGTTATTCCATTCACTAAGATGCAGATTCTTCAGTGTGAAAAAAAAGTTGTTTTAAAAAACTTGACAACCAGTTTGTAACACCTCCAACCTGTCAAAGTCGCTTTAATCAGTGTGAATAGAGAATCCTCGTCCAGTATAAATGTTTAGAGTCCTGGTTTGACAGCATGTAAATAAAATGAATGACAGATGTTTATTTGCACCAGCCAAAATCATTTAGTGAGACTTGTGGTGCTTATTTGAACATCGCTGTTGGAACTTGGAAATATTGCCTGAGTGAGGATGGACAACACTAGACATGTGCTGACAAGTGCTGTTTTAGGAACTGGAGCTATACAACCTAAGAACCAAAGAGAAAAAAAAAAAAGGTATTTCATTAAAAGTGTGAACCATCACACCAACATGGAATTAGTAATTTCACTGATCTGCTGCAAAAAAGACAAAAAAAATCAGACATTTTAAAATGAAATTTACATTTTTTTAAATAACTTTTTAAGACATTTGCATTTACATATTTGTGAAATATGTGCTGGTTCCTTAGGTTGGAGGCTACAATACTGAGATGGTATCTTCCTGTGAAAACTGTATTTGCACATTTCACTGTTGAAAGCTGTGTTGGGACTTTTCAACATGAAAATTGTTTCAGGTCAAGTCAGGAAAGAAAATATGGTGTGATCAGTCCATTTATTTATAGACACAGTCACAATGATGCCAAGAGGATACCATTCAAAAAACATTGGGCTAGAGCTGTTTTATGAAGCATCTTACTCTTTCCAGGCTCTTATAAGAAACCTGATATAAACATGATGCAGATTGAACGACCTCAAGAACTCAATTATAGTGCTGCGGAAGAATCCCATTCATGGTTCAGTGTGATACCATTCAACCCTGTGGAGATGCTGGCATAGATGTCTCTTTTAATACTGGAGGTATCATGTTTGAAAGTTGTTCATTCCAGCCATGTGTCTTTATGGATGCCTGTGTCTGCCCAAAATAAAATGATGAGGATGATGATGAACATGCCAGGAGGCTTAGCAAATTCAAATGCACCCCTCTTGTTGTCTGGATCATTCCCACACCACAAGATACAGTTTACCGTACTAGCGGTAATTTCAGTTGGATGTGCAGGGAAAACTCCTCCAAAAAGGCACCACAAGGAATTCCTAATATGATGCCTAATCCCCCTCTGTGCAGGGGACACTGTCTGAGCTCTCTGATACATACGAGGACTAGACAGCTTGTCACAACAGCCCAGAGACTTACCTTAACAGCACCCCAAAGGACTCCCAAGGAATGCAGTCACACCCAAATAACAAAGACCTTAACCATGCAAGAGTTAAGAGCAGGTTAGGGTCAGAGTTAGGATTAGGCCCAATGAATACCCCAACCGTGGAGCAGTTATCTTCATTGTTGCTTCTCTCATATCTAAGGTGTGATGAGTGGTTAGAGCCTCCTTTCTTGTACCCTGAAAAACGTACCCTAGGAAGCTAAGTATCGCAAAACCTTAATCATCAGGACACACCCTCCGATCATTACCTTCTGTTAGCAACTTAACCTTCAAAGATATTATTGCAGTTCTTGAAGAGGTGTGTCAAGAATTGCAATAGTTTTGAGAGTCTTCAGCTCAGGGTAGATCTGATCCACACCTGGTGCCCTACCCTTTGGAGTTTATTCCTAATTTAGCAATCACTGTGAAGGATGGTATGGCCTCTCACGGCTCGTCAAACTCACCCCTCTCAGATGAGGTCATATTGGTTTAGTTCAGAAGTTGCTGGAAGTGTTCCCTCCACAGCTTTACCATTTCCCATGTCCAGGTTAGCAGATCCCTTCCCTGTTAAAAAAAAAAAACTGTGGACACCAGACTCTGCCTTTCCCTCCTGAGTAATAGTTTCTCCCTAATTTTCTCATAAGACCTAACTAATCTGGTGAGCAGTACAAAACCTTTCCCTCAGCCCAGTGAATATCTTGCCAGCTCCTATTAAAAATGTGATTACCACAGTGGTTCCTTGCCTAGTAGCCATCATAAATAGCTTCCTGATATGTGGTCGTGTTCTGTCCTGTTTGACCCATCTGTTCTTAATAACAATTGGTCTATCTCACTACTGTTTTACATATACAAAATCTTAAAGAAACTCTCAAGTGAATAGATAGCTTTCTCAGACTCCCTTGATGTCCTCTGATGCAGGTGAATGATCAGTACTTGTCCACCATAAACTTAGCCATGCATTTTGATATTAATCACAGTGTCTTAATAAACAGACAAGGTAGTGGATGGTTATCACTGGGAACACTCTTGACCGGTTTTCATCCTGTTTTCTAAATGCATGTTTCTCAATGTCCCTTGAACCTCACATGCCTGAATCTGCAGTGAGTCTGTCCTGTGGTGTGCCTCAGGGTTCTGTGCTGGATCCTATTTTGTTTTCTTTAAATATTCTTCGACTTGGCCATAGAATTAAACAATTTCATGGAATCTTGTACCACTGTTATGCTGATGATATTCAACTGTATGTTTCTTTTTAAGCACAGTGACTCACTGTAATTATAGACAGGATGAATATTAACTTCCTTCAGTTAGAAAACAGATTTAAAAATGGGTCCTCATCGTTGCCCCTGACAGCCCCTTATTTACAACTTGTATTTCCTGTCTACCCTTGTGAAAACAAACCTTAGTAACGTATTTGTCGCTTTAAAAACATAATGCCTTTTAACAAACAAATCAAAGCTGATCATGTTTTTTTCAGTCAAGAAACACTGCAAAACTAATGTTATTTCATGCTTTTGTTCCTTTTCAGCTAAATTATCAAAGTTTCCTATTCATCTACCTCTAAATCTCTTCTAGATCATCCATAAATGATTCAAAACACCATTGCAAGTGTGTTTAACAGGTAAAGCGGGACAGCCCACATCACTCCTACTATATTCTCTATGCATCATTTAATTTTCAGAAAACATTTCAAAGCCTCGTATTTACTTATGAGGCCATCTGTGATTAAGTACCTGTGAGTTTCCTGGACTTGCTGTCCTTAAATCTCTAGTAGGTCCCTCAGGTCTTCTGACAAAGGTTTTCTGTGTCAGACTGAAAAGAAGAAGCAATTGTGCCCTCAAGCTTATGACTTTAACTCTGGGGAACTCCCTTCCCATGCAAATACACTGTACTGTTTTCACTATTTACTAATGGTGGCAGTAGTCTTAAAATCTTGTTAAAGCTGAATGAAGGTTTTGCTCCATAGGATGTTTTCCTCCCCAAATTCTCACACCATCCTAACCACTGAGCCACAGCCCTCAGACCAACCTGCTGCTTCGAGTTCAATCAGACTTAGTGCTGCCTTGTAGAGCCAGAGGCAATGCACAGGGTGTCTTTTTTAATTGTACTGTATCATTGTCACCACTGCTAGGTTATTTTAGTAACGGTATTACAGGCACAAATGTTCTTGCTTGTCTTGCAGGAACTAGAGTCTTCTTCTCCATTAATTGCAACTCCCTAAAAAAAGATAGTTCAGTCCCTGCCCAGAAATTTGGATCCAGTGTTGTTTATGGGTAAAAGCCAAACTATATCTGGCTGGTGTTCCACATCCTAGTCGGGGAGTTCAAGCCATGCTCTCTGTCCCTCAGAGAGGTGAAGAAAGGTAAAGTTTCACATTCCCAGACCCACTCTATTGTAAATGGATTGGCATTCCTTTTCTAGAGAGACTGTGAAACCACTATTTGACGAGGATTTCCCTCAAACCCTTTCGCTTTGAAAACAGCTGCCAGGAGACACAGCTCTGACAACACAGTGGTCCCGTGGTCACATGAACGTGTGAACCTCTTCACCACATTATGGTGTCATGTTTGGATCAAAGTGAAACGCTTATACACCTTTGAAAATAGATAACCAAGATTAGCAGCTACATTAATGAAATGCTTTCAACTTTATATGGAGAGAAAGGAAAAGTCTGTAAAAAACTGACGCTAAAACTAATTTTTACCTGAGTAAACTGAGTAAATTGCCTCAGTGATGATCATTTGATAATCTTAGACACTCATGGAAAAGCTTCACGTTAAATAAGAATCAGAGTAAGAACAACTTTATTTAATCCCCGAAGGGAAATTCAATAAAACAATTCAATAAACTTAGAGGTAGAAATATTTCAACCCAAAGTCTAGGATGAATTTGATATTTTTTGTCCTCTTTGTTTGGAATGGATAATCAATTGAGCGATGGACCTAGACAAAAAGGTCAGGAAGGTTTGCTCTTTCCAGTTTAGCCAATTTCTCAGGTATCTGGTGTCCAACCCAACATACTGCAAGTATGAGCAGTCAGGGGATAAACAAGTCATTCACGAAATAAGATTTTCCATTTTCCACACACACACACACACACACACACACACTGATTTATAGACTTCATAAGTCAGTGATCGATGTGAGTCAGTGGGCCAATCCAGTTACATTAACCAGGAGTATTTTGGGTTGGAAACTTGTCCAAATGTTGGTTTTCCTTC